CTACAAGTATGCCTCTTCGACTTCGTCGGCAAGGCATAAATATGAAACCAGTTTGAAATCCATTAAGTTGCATGATGCCAGCAATGTGAGCAGGTACAGTCTATAGCTGGTACTGACGACGCTGCTTATAGAACGTAGATTGCAATGAAAGCTACAGCAGCACTTGAAAGTAAAAAAGGGTCCAAGAGAGCCAAACTGAGGCCAATTTATTGACACTGGAAGTGGCACACCAGAAATAGGAGATATGGCTCAAAGTATCTATTCTCAGTTGTAGAAACATGGAAATTGTCTGGAGAGTTGAATGGATTACACATTCCAAAAATTAATGACCAAGCAGATATGCTCAATCAAATTACAGTACAACTGCCACTACAATGAACCCGATAGGGTTTACACAAACTAATTATTCCAGCAGTCATTCATGATAGTGATTTTTAGTTGCGGATGCACCTGTTCGTAAATTCTGACTCATCCATCTTAAGGATATTTCTACATGAAGACTGTGGGCCAACACTTCCAATGCAAAAAATCCAAGCATTTTCTTCAACGTATAGTCATTTCTTTCCATATTGCACATTTTGGGTAGTTGACATTGGAGGTCAAATCATGAAATGAAATAAAGTTTCCCAAGATTTCCCCAAGTAAAATTTTCGAGTCAACACATAAAAATCCAATGTGACTTGCAGTGCTATTACGCTCATTTCTGCTGCTAAAATGTAACTATGACAGACCTGCCAGGAACCATTCTATAGCAGTGGTACAGGACCAAAGTTTGCCCTGTGAAGTGGACAGCATGAGCGTTGAGAACAATTGGAACAAGCAAAATATTTGACAAAGATTTCTGCACCTTAAAAAGAAAAGATCATTTATCCATCCACATACATACTTTCTGATGAGACGAATGCCTTTCAAGGCAAGGTAAAAAACCTTGCATGTAGAAACAACACACAAGATTTTCCACATCAGAGTTGCCCGTGTTGCATGCATACACTCAGTGGCTCATCTACTAAATAAGAGGCTGCAAAATAATACCTTCAGTTCATTAAAGAACATGAAATAAGCTGCAGATCCTTGATAATACTGGTGTATGGTTACCAAATGTAGGCGATTCAACTTCTTTACCTTTGGTTAAAGGGAACAAGGTTGAACAATAAAACTGAAAGGCTAGTGTTAATTCCCTTACCCCCAGCCCATTACCTGCACTCCACCTCCCAGTCCTCAATGGGGGGGGGCTAGAACTAAAAAAAAATGAAAAGAAACTCACCACATCCTTGTTCATCTTCACCATTCGGGCAGTCGGCATGACCATTACATTCTTGAAACTGCCGGATGCAGGAGGCATCTGCACATTTGTATTCAGTTTGCGTGCAATTCCAGGCATGTAAGCCATCTGGATCTGGTTCACAGCTCTGGTAACAAATTGGGGAAAACCAAAAGTCAGGTCAGCAGACTGGGGAACAGTTTCAGCCCAATTAGTCATGTTTGCCTCAAATGCACAGTGCACATTTATGATGGTGGTCCCACAATGCAAGGATGCATGTCAATGACAGTTGTGGTTATTCTCATGTTGAACAGACCTTACTACTTGCTGACAGTACGATGTTTGGATTGAAAATTACGACCTTTGAAAAAGACAAGATATGGTGGCCAAGTTTTGATATAAACAGCCAAACCCAATAACTATAAACTGATCTGCAGAACCCATTTGAAGTTGGAAAGCCCAAAATATGAGTCCATATAACAGACTCCAACAAACCTGTTGATGGCTATCAATTGTTTTGTGCCATGAATAAAATTAAGCCATCATAGAATAGTTGATTGACCTCAAAACCATGGAAACAGGCATCTAATTGCTTTCTCACACACAACTATGGATTATTATCGGTCTTTATCAGCATTACATTAATATTACAACATGCTTTGTGCCTACAAACTGCATTTTGAAATCCTTAACCTAAAAATGTACATGTATTAGGGACAGCAGAGCAAATTTTGACCCCGTTTTGATGTTGGAGCTGGATTATTTTTAATTTCTTGCGACTAATTTTTTGGCAAATATGTGGAACATCTTTCACAAGGCCACAGGATATGTTTGTGACATTCTGGGAGCGGACTGAAGAACAGAACTATGTGGCTTTCAAGTTTTGAATGGAACGATGACATTGTGTTAATGTAATGAGATATGAAGACCAGAAAGAGTCTTCCAAGTGGAAGTGTACAGCTTACAGGTCTTGAACTAGCTCTCAATTCACTTAACACAAAGGTCCCAAATGGCCAATCAGAACTTGTTGAGGTGAACAAACAACAAAAGGAGACATAGGTTTGTCACCAGGACTATGTACCTGCTGATCTGAGCCTAACTTCATCAAGATGGGGCACCCACACGTCCGCTGCCCTGAGGGAGCTCCAAAGCAGAAATGGCTGCAGCCGCCATTCAGTCCAAGGCGGGAGCACTCATTCTCCCCTGGGGCCAGAAGCAAACACAGAGCATGACCAGTTGCCATGGGTGAGTTATTTAAGAGTTGTCCACATTACAGGATGTGCCCCTCATCAAAATCCTTCAGTGGCCATATGTGGTGCATATCGGTGCCAGTGAGTGTAGTGGAGTGAGGGGATGACCAAAATCCTCAACCTGCCCAGCTTAAACATGCTAAAAATCGCGCGGCAATCATGCTTTTTTTTTCTCACCACTGCAAAGTAGAAGAGAGGTTATTCAACTGACCATAATCCCTCCCTATCAAAGAGTGGAGGGAAAATCCCCCTCCCTGATTTAAGCTCATGCCGACCACACTTTTGAAAGACAGTGCTCTTACCCTACAGCACTTGATTCCTCCTGATTATTTTCCACTATAAATTTTTAAACAACATATGTGGTACATTTTGCCTAAACTTCCATGAAAATTTGTGACAATCTTGCACATTCACACTGCAATAGTGACTGCCACTTTTTACGCCACCTTGAGTTTGGTACTACTGAAAAAGTTAGTGAAGGATTAAAAAAACTGGCTCAGATAAAGGCTAATCCAGTCACCAGAGTTAGAAGCCATTTCTGCAGTGGTTTGACAGTATCCTGCAGAAATCACACGCGGGCTAAATACCTCTTCTACCAATGGGATGCTGTGAAATACCAATGACATTTGCATGACATTTCAGGACAAGCCATGAAGAGCAGTTTTAGATTGGCTTGTGGATAATATGACAGGTGAACAAATACCCTAGGTGCTTAAATACTTCCTTGTTTTAACTTAGCGCTGATTCTGCTTACCTCCTTGCACATCCTCAGAGTAAACCTTCACTTGAAAGCTAACTGTGGAAAAGTCATACATCTCCAATGGCCAGGATCCTTCATTCTTGTCCACACGGTACACTTTGGTTTTGTAGGTGAAAAACGCATAACCTGCGTAGAAGGAACAGGCCGGGTTAGTGTGAATCATACAACACTCACATAAATTCACATTGATCAATTGTCATGAACCACTCACTGTAATCAATGGTGACACCATTATGCCTTGTTAAATACACCACTCTACAAACTGTGGCATGCACAGTAGGCAGTCACATTTTTCATGTAGAAAAGGAATGTTATGCAATGCACATGAACATAGCAGATAAATATAGTTACAGCTCTTCGTGCCAACACAATTTGGGGCAAAACCAAAGATAAATTTCTGAACTTAAAAGTAAAGGTTGTGCTTGTTGAGAGAGAACCAAATAATACTATGTCATCAAATGATAAGGGCAAATTGCAGATGAAGATCTGTTCAAGCATTCACGATTAGCTGGAACGCAAACATTTCATGTTGTTATCTTCCCAACTGACAAAGTAAAATGGCAAATTTTCCACAAAGAGGATTCATTCATGAATTGTACAGAACACAGAATGAATGCTTCACATTCATGCAATGGAAGAACAATTTTATTTGGTGATGGATAGAATGTTCCATTTGGGTGAGTATCAGTTATGATGTTACTGTCATAAAAATGATGTCAGTATTGCTTCTGCTGTTTCTACAATTTTCCACTTTAGCTTCTAACACTCCTTTGTCAGAGGCTGCAGCTGCTCTTGATTGGTAGTGTTGTATAGACATTTGCCTCCCTTTTCTTTTTTAAAGTCGTTGACAAGAATGCTTAATATTGTGGCACAATGGCATCCTAGCAACAGCTTTCCATGCCTGCCTCTGTGCTGTGATATATATTAATGAATTTCTGAGAGGGTACATCTCTCGGTAGCTGCAGCCCGTGGCTAAAGGGTTTCCAGCATGCCTCAAGTGTCCTGATGCTGAGAAGACCACACTTGTGACGACAGTGTGACGTGACAGAGGGCGCTAGGTGAAGAAGCAGAATAGAATAATAGATGGTGCTCTGCACGGTAATAAGGGCAGATGCACGTGTACATATAGTCATGTGTTTAGTGGGCCCGGTTCTTTGGCTCTGCCTTGCACGTAGAGTAGCACGAGTCACTCCTTAAGTCACATGAAGTATGTGTGCATAGCGATAGCAATGATGGTTTTCAAGGGTTTGCAGGTGCCCTTCTGCAGGCAAGGCTCGCATGACGTTTCTGCTTTGGAAAAAATTCAAATTATACATAGTTCTCACTCATTGAGAAATATCTGAAAAAATCTCCATCAGAGTCTCATCTGTTGGTGCTGAAGGCCGACGCATGTCCAGCTTGTGTCTGCACTCTAGTTACATAATTGTGTCATGTGACACAGCCATCCAAAGCCAAACACAATGCCTGCTGTTCCATGACCTCGGCGGATGCAGCTTTGTCCCGGTGTGAGAAATGCATCAATCTTCTCATAGACGCAATTGAGGATGAAGGTCTACGGCTAGACAGAGGGCCTCAAGGTTTTCAAGGCTTCAGCAGCAGGATGAGGACACTGCATCCAGTACAAAGTGGATGCTGCACCTCCGACTCCAGGTTAAAGAAGTCGGCAATAGGTTGCCTCATCCACTGTGCACAAGCATGTGTGTTTAATCCTTCCCAAGGAATTTCAATGTAATTACATGGGTTCATGTCAAAGACATGAGGTAATCAGGCTGATGAGTGTTTATGTGTCCATATTTGTCAGCCTCCATGCACATTTGACATTAGAATCACTTTTGCGGTTACATATATGGTGAAGGTTTCATTTAGATGTCTATAATGAGGATTTACTCACTTCCAAAAACAGAAACTGTCCAAGGAGGAATTCCATGCGTGGTGACCTCTGTGCGGGACTGGCCATCAAAGTCACAATGCCATATGGAATCAGTCTGATTTTAAAGAAAAAAAATATGGAGCCAGTTTTTACAAGCATACTTTCTTTCACATGTTTGCAGCAAAAAGTCAAAATTATACTGGAATGTGTGCATGTGGGGGATGCTTCATGCAGATCAGGCAGGCCTATTGAAATTGTGAATTGGTGCCTTCTTTGTCATTTCTGTCACTCCGTAGAAACATTTCCCTCACACACACATTTGAATGTCTGGTGAACAGTGCTGTGGTTGTGGACCATCACAAGACTGTCATTATCAAGACCAACCACAAGATCACTAACAATCTTGATGATTCAACAGACCAGCCACAAGTAACAGCATGAACAACAGTGGTGGAGGACATCACTATTCCACCGTCACAAATATGACACAGTCTAAAAAAATTTGGAATCACAATTTTTCGGGTAAAATAATTGAATATCAGGACGTCGGTAATATCCTTTTTATATTTGCAATTCTTTCCTCAACATGAGTCCCATGGATACTTATTTTGCCATTGCTCTAATAAAACGCTGAATAAGTATTCAAGCTTTGTTTATGAGATTCAAGTATACCTAATGGTTGAATTAAAATTTGAAAAGGCCATTTATTGATGTTGGGGTCATGTGCTTAGATTCAAAAAGTAGAAAAATGTAAGCATGCAGAGTAACTTGGAAAAACTTTATAATGCAAGTTGAATTTTGTTAGCACGAGTTGTTTCAAATGCAAACTTGCAGGAGGTGCCAGTAAATTTTTGGGGGGATGGGGATTTGAACCTTTACACTGCAGAAGAGGCCCGTCATGCTGAATCAATTTATCTGTGGCTTGTACATAGGAGCTGTACTTGCAACACCTGAAGACAGGGGAGCACTGGGGGGGTCCCAGACATTTGCGGCGGGGCGGGGGGGGGAGGGTGCCTCTTCGATCGTGACACCACTGCACTACAGGTCAAACAGGTTAAGGGAGTTTGACTTCAAGATTTGGCTATAATGTGCATACAATAAGGGAACTCCAGAAGAGCAGGCTGTCTCTGTGGTCCACCGTGAGTGAATATAACCGGTTCAGCTCATGAGAGCTCAGTAAGGTTTCAACGTGGCTTCCATCCAACCAGGACCTCTTCAGCTGCCTCCCGTAATATTCATACCAGAACAAGTACCTGAAAAAGTCAATGCAAAGTTCACTTGATATCCACTGCAAGGAAAAACTCTGCAAACTCCACTTATCCTAAGCTCATAACTTGATTGGTGTCTTGAATGGTCCATGCAATGCCAATAGTTTACTGCAAACTTTGATCAGGCACCTCTGTGTTTCAATTAAGCTTATTTTCATTTTTGGTTTTGCTATTTGAGAAGGCATTTTGGCATCCCTTTTAAGAAAGCTTTACACTACTTTAACCTGCATACTATAATAATATAAAATAACATAATATATTAAAATATAAGTGGCAAGACACTCCCAGACTACACTGAGTTTGGAAATAATAACATAGATAAAAGACTGTGCCTACATCTTGCCAATTGCCCTTCCAATGGGATTATGCATCAATATAGTGATCAAGTCACATGTGGGAGGGTTTTGCTTCTCATTGAGAAAACTGGAGAATCTTCAACACAAACTTGGCCACAATTTACTAGCGATGGCAGAAAAGGCCTGGCAGAATAGGTCTGCCATTTTGGTCTGCAAAAAAGAAAGATGCACATTAAACAAATCATAAACAAAATTGGATTTATCAGATCTTGTCAGACCTTCAGAAAGACGATCAATCCAATCTTCTCAAACAACTCCAAGTATCAATTAGACTATGATGCAAATTCAACTGAACCATGTTCCATTAAATCCAACCTGATGTCAGATTTGGAATTGGATCTGATTGGGATTACATGGTATTGGGATTGGGTCAGATTGGGATAAGGTTGGATTTGGATCACATCATATTGGGATCAGGTCAGATTGGGATAAGGTCAGATTGAGATTGGACGTGTACATTTTCAATTGTTAGTTATGAGTGTTGGTCAATGTCACCCACTGAAAGCACACAAAAAAATGTGAAATGGTTGGAGAGTTAAGAAATTCAAATGTCAGAACAAGCACTTACCCTCCTAAAGGGGCAACATTGATGTAACTGAAGTATGAGACGGAACTGCTCTGGTATATAACAGTCTCGGTTTCAAAGACATCATCCATCTTCAAGGCAGCAATCAGGTTGCGATTGTAGTCAACCCAGTACACGTTTTTTGACAACCAATCATAACTTAACTGCCCAATATAATTCATGTGAGGTGACTGTATCACCCGCTCATCTGTTAATACAAATGTCAGAACACTGAAGTCAAGTAAATGAAAAGGGAGTCAGCCTGCTGACTGAGGCTTGAATCAAAGGTCTATCATCATGGTGTGGTCTGCTTCACAGATTTTCACCTCCAAAGTGAAACATCCAAAAGAAAAAGTTTGAGTAAGTGGCAGATGACGGTGAATGTGAGTCCAGCAAATTCTGGGCCATTTAAATTCAAATAGTAAACTAAAACAGAATACAAGGCACATGTGTATATTTGCATTGTACACCGATTCCCATCGGTGCAATCCTTTCCCACAGAAGTGTGGGGCAAGTCTACTTGTGAATACCTACCCCAACAATCACTCTATATGCAAATTTCCCTATAAGCCTTTTGCAATTCACTATTGTAGTGCGCACTCTATTACCACACTGCACTGTGGCATCACCGCCATGTTCATCCTTTTTCGGAGTGCACGGTGTTTTGGTAGGTATTTGCTAGCAGACTTGACCGACACTACTGTGGAGGAGGAGTCCACTGCATTCATCCTACCCAAACTATCACTATATATTAAGACTAGCACCAAAAACAGGTGGAGGTTTGGCGATGACACACTGAAAGTGAAAAAAAGTGTGGAATGATGAAGACCCACTGAAGAAAGGAGGAGGCCATAAGGAAGAGCTGGAGGTGACTAACCCAGTATGGGTCCTCATGGTCCTGACAGAGAGGTAGTATTGCCTTGCCATGAAGAACTCATCTCGAGACTTTATTCAGGTAGCATGAGGTGAATGATAATAGTGTTTCCCAACATGCTCCCCTGTAGATGTCTTTTGAAGGAAGCGTAAAAAATGTTGGCAAGGTCGATACCACTCTAATATCGTGTGCTGCAACAGGGAGGCCAGGTTTGTGATTTGGGAAGATCGGCCATTTGGGACAGGTGAACATGATGGCCGAGGAAAGCTAACTAGCAGTAGTGTCTCTGATTGCTGCTCGATGAGGTTTATCGGAGTAATGGTGGAAGAAGAGGGATAGCACCTCTCAGCGTTGAGTCCTAGTCAGATACCATTATGAGAATTGAAAAGGACGGCAAGGTTTGCTATTAGAAGTAGAATGCTCTATGATGTTCGAGACAAAGATGTCTCGCGGGTGAGATGAATTGGAATAAGACCTTGAGCAGGGTGTTATCTATTTGATGAAATCATCCATGACGGTTACTCTCGATACTCCACTGTTTTGGAAAGAAGAGTTACTAGAAGTAGAAAGGCCAGCCTCACCTAGGTTAGTGATGATGAGGCCTCAAGGAAAGACCCAGAGGGAAAACATTTAAAGAGCTCAAGGACATGAGTCATCTGGAATGGGACCACTCAATGAATATACTAAGAGAAAATACCTGCGGGCAGTGTTGTCCAAGGGAGTGGAGCCATCAGGGACAACAGCAGTGGATAGCCGTGATGACAGAATGGTAGTTGCGTAATGCCCACTGTACTCTTGAGTAAGTAGGGGCAAAAAGGAAAGTCGGCTATTGTGGTTGTAGGTGTCTTGGTTGGAGATGCACGACTGGCACACCATAATGTAGAGAACTGTTATTTGTTCGTGCAGACTTACCTTAGCGACCTGGTTAATCAAGGCACCAGGATTGGTGAAGCCAGAACAGAGCAAAGAGAAGAACGTAGCAAAACCCTGAGCGATTCAGACAGAAATGATGGAACGAAAGGTTGGCACACAGGCACATGACCCTTCCCAGCTGCAAAGGAGGACATCCGTCATCCAGGCCTGTAGGTGAGGGAACCTGCTACACAGCCTCAGTGACCGAACATTCTCAAAAAAAGACAATTTGTTAACTGTCCTGTACCTTGAAGATCAACTCACCCAAATTGTAATACTGAGTTGGATTCATCAGGATGTTTCTCTGCGAGAGAGTTGTAATGTTGGCAGTTGAGATATGGGTTGCCTTGTAATCAATCCCAGAGCCTGACGCCCATGGGGGCAACTGTCTGATCAAACAGGAAAGATTTGCCCAATTAGTTGTACTGCAGTGATGTATTGTGCTGAAAGTCACCTGGTGTTCGGGATGTTGAAAAGGCTTCCAAATCTCTGAGACCTGGAAGGTCAGGAAGAGAAGCACCTATGTAATCTGGATGGGTAAGTAAGAAATCGTCACCTAAGGATCCATCTTTGGGAGAGTCCGTATCAACTGTTAGCACAGTGGTGACCAGATGACGGCCATTATGAAAACTGAGAGGTCAATCAGATCACAATTTGGAATGAAAAAACACCTGTAAGTGGGCTGCAAGGGTCTCAGTATGGAAATGGTAAAGAGGTACCAGGTTCACCAGACCCATGATACAGCTGAAGAGAAGTTGTGTTTGTGTGCTGGAGCCCGAAGGGCAGAGCTGACAAGTTCTTTCGGAGCATTTCAGTAATCTCAACTCTAAAAATCTGTAATTTTCAGAGGAAATCAGTAATTTCTTTTGCAGAGCCGATTGGCTACGAAAATACTTTTTTTATTTGATGTACAATGTACAACACAGCATGTTTACATTGTACATTTAGTATGGGAGTTTTCAGTATGTGGAAAGTAATATATTTTAATAAAAAACGGGTTTGAATTATATTTGCTTAGCATGCCAAATTATAAATCAAATGTACAGCCTTTGATGATGTATGTACTTCCACAGGGCACCTGCAGCATGAGCATGGAAACCAATGTTCGCAATACAGGTAATCCAATTTCTTATCTATAACATGTGCATACCGGTACATGCTCGGTACGAAACTGCACCATCAACACCTCAGATCGAATGGTACCATTGTCTTTAGGGCGGAAAAATGTTGCTATGTCCTGACTCCCTTCCCTATCATCCTTACCTGCCCAATTTTTCACTGACTTGACATGTACTTTGACATCATTTGATCTCCCCTGTCCAATTGAGAAATCGCTGGAACACAGCGTACATTGCGCAAAATACATGGCCATTTCTTGTGGTATTCTTCTCTAAATGTGTTTTTCATACGTTTAGCCTTAGAAGCCATTTCTTTTTCAAGAAAGAACAACGAAGTCCGTGTGATCGTAGAAATATCCGAGCAAGTACGGTGGCGTGGTGTTGTCATGCACGACGCGTCACACATACGCCGTGATTGTTGCGGAAATGGGATTCACACCAATTCGGAACAAAAATAGCTCAGACCCATACCAACTCAAACCCATACCAATGTGCACACACAATACTACACTTTGCCTTGCGATGCCGAGTTGTCCGGGCATTCGAGTTGTGTTATTGGTTGATGTTTCCCATGTCGAGTTTTCCCATGTAAAAACAGCGTTTTGTGTGTGAGTGTGTGTCATCAGGCACCAGCGCGCCACAGGTAGTCCTATGGATGTTTCACTGGTTACCGTATCACACAATGTACATGTATATGTACATGTTACTGTGTGGCGTACACGGAATGTCCGGATCGCTGGGGAAATCGGTCTTCACACGTTTCACAGCTGCACGCGAGCGGGACACCGCACACAGTCTGATCGCGGGCCGAGTCAAGTATAAACCGTTTTGCGTGGTTTGTGCGCCGCGATATTATGCATGACTGCCAGAGGGTTTTCCGTAATTTTTGGGCGGCAGTCGGTACTCCCGTAATCACGATCAAGTTCCGTACCAATTACAGAAAATCCGTACCACTTGGCAGCTCTGGAAGGGGGATGGGGACCACACCTAGATTAATCAGGACATGAGTAGGGCAGATCTGAAAATTCTGAACTACAGATGGCAAGCTCATAAGTAAGGCTGGTGTCAATTACAGGTTGTCTGGTGAACTGTCTAAACCTGGTTTGCCATCAAAATATTCGAATGTCGGAATGGCAAACTGCCGTAGGTAGGCGGTCACAACTCCCGCCATTTGCTTGAAGACCCCTTGAGACATCAAGAGATCACAGTTTTGATGTAGATGAATCAGAGGAACTTGTAAAACCGTAGATGGACTGAAGCTGTGAAAGTAAGCGATTTGGAGATCCATTGACAATAGCCAGGGTAGAGTTGACAGGGGTTGAAACATTGTGAAGTGTTCAGGGTGCCCACTTGCAGAACTTCTTGGGGCAAGTGAACCTCCTTTCCTTTTTTTCAATGCCTGCCCATTTGATCTACTGGGAGGGATTGGCATTAGGGGAAGAATATGGTCAAATGGAGGGGCACCCATAAGTCCGAAGAACAATTGAAAACGTTGCAAGAACCCATCTGGCCGACGTGCAGACATGTCTGCCCTCTGCATTATTTGCATGGGCTGAGGAGAGGAGGGCAGTGCCAAACTTGACCGGTGCACTGGGTGAACGAGTGAGTTGGCTCGGTGTGATTAGTCTACGATGTCATGGTCTCTATGAGTTGTTCCGCAGATGAGTCTTTCTCGTAAGAAGGAGAGGCCAGAGATGAGTGAGAATTGCTCAAAGATAGAGTTGGCATTCTCATCCAGTTCCATAAGAGTGACCATGGTATGGTCTGGAGAGGCGAGAGTTTTTGGGGGGGAACTTAGGAGAAGTGTAGTACGATAAGGGTGGAATAAAAGGCTGCACAACGGAGACTGCAATAAGAGGCCCTATCTAACTCAGCTAGGATAACTTCAAGGTTGGAATTTGTCCTTATTGAGGAAGAGGGCCCTTGCTGGAAAACTTAGCAGAGGCAGACTGATCTTGTCTGTAGTGCTAGACCCAAGACAGGAAATACATGTTTGTGTAGAAGACGAAGACGGATCTCCAACTGCGTACAGTTAACAGCTGAGACTATTCCTTCATTTCAGAGTCCCATAGTGAGGATCGGGACAATTATGGACCGGGCCCTATTGTGCACCCTGAGAGGAATCACATCAGGGTTCTGATGTAGGTACGTTGCCTGTTGGGTAATGCTACTAACGTTGACAATCAATGCATATACGAACAGGACGGGGAAGTTCCGGATGGTGAATGCAGAAGTGGATTGATTAGAAGAGGGCCGGGATCAGGAGCTGAAAATGAGGTGTGTAAGCTTTGGATCAAGGCAGCTGACCAACAAAAAGAATGACTCAGAATGGGACTGCAAAGTCAAGATGACAGTTGAGGAGGAAGCGTTGTGATGTTTGGCCAATGCAACTTCCTCCAAGATGACCCAGCGGAAGACAACATGAAGCGTGTATGCTTCTTTAATGCACTGGAGTTTGAGGAAAATTCGCAGGCGAAGCCGGATGTCAGACGAGGCCGAATGGGTAGGCAAGAACAGCCCAGAAGCTTCCTTCTAAATGTTCTGAAGATGAGGAGCATTTACACCTCTCATGCATGGGGGAGTTGGTGGAAAATTCAGAGAAGATGCCAGCTAGGCAGAAACGGTGGAAAAACAGTTAAGTTGCCCATCACATTTGGGCAGAGGCTGCATGAGGTGAGTCGCAGGGCAAGGAGGCCCAGAAGCATTCTTCCAGGATATTCCCAAAGAGAAACATCTTACCGAGGTGTGGAAATCACAGCAGTGCAGCAGACCATTGAGTTTGGATGCTAGAGATGCAGAATGGGGAGATGTGGCCACAGATCCGCATTCCAATGGCACATTCACTGGGACATCCCCAGGAAGTTATGGGGGTTGACACGGTAGCGCTATTGTCTGGTTCATGCCTCGGAGCCCTGTTGATATAAAAATGCTAGTGGGATTAGGCAAATAGGGTCATCTAGATCATTGGATGAGGCACTGACTTGCTTCCTCGCGGGTCTTGGCAAACCTACCAGTAGCAGTGGGAGATGTCTCGGTAGGTAACATTGGAGACATGGCATCGGATCCTTGTTCTGATGTTGGAGAGTTGATGCACAGCAGGAAGGCAGGCAGGTTCGCTTGCCCGTGTTGTGATCTGCGTTGTGCCTGCTTGGCCCCATATTGTTTTCACCGGGGCCACCCCAGTAAGACAATCGGGAAGCAGTCTGGAAGGATGTCGTGTCTGATTCACGCCTGGATGCTCCAGTTGAAAGAGCGTCTGAGGCAGTGGCTCATGGTGTGAGGCGGTTGGTGTGGCCGGTGTGGGGCCATCCCTCCTTGAGCTTGATGCGCAATGCCAGTACAGTGTTGTATCCTTCATTAGGCATTGGTGGAATGTGGACCTCTATAATAGACCTTATTCCCCTGGTAGCTAGACTAGGGAAGCTGAGCATTCAGATTGCATGCACCACAACTCAGTCCCCAGTGTGGTCGTTGGCTTCAAACCTAATACCTCGATCCTACCACTGAAAGACTCCTGTTGGTCTGTGGGGAGAATTGGGTGCTGCAGAATGTGTTAAGAACCCAACTCTCCTGGGTTGCCTGGGTGACCCCATATAATATCACTGGGTAGCACGAGCTACGTTTAACCAATGTCGGCAACCTACGAGCATGCATACACAATTAGAGAAAGAAAGATACAACACCAAACTACAAATAGAACACACAATTAGGAATGACATGTAAATATCCAGCAACTATAATTATTTATACGTTACGGTTGATCGAGAGAACAGAAACTCAAAAAACTTGAAGATGCCAAAAATGACATGTCTGTTAGGCGTCATCCCCAAATTGACTAAGCGTTCCAGGACACGGACATCTCTTGGAATCACGGACAGCACGCTAATCCCTGCCAAACAAAAGAACCGTTAGCAACCTGGTGGCTCCGTGGACGAAACACAATATGCAAGCTTTATGCAAATTACCTACCTCATGAACAAGCCCGATCTTCTATGTATCGGCCAGCAATCTTTGGCAGGGCAATTCCCTTGGAATTAGCACGTGGCAGAGTTTCCCCTGACCGACCAGTTGACTCCCAGTTAGAACAAGATCGGCCGCCAACTTTATAAATACCACAATTCTTTTTAAAGAATCCATCAGAATAATTACTAGGTTTGTTCAGAGTTTAAAGTTTTATGAGCATGACATATACATGTACATACAAACACCCAGTCGCGTGGAGGAACAAAGAAAAGGGACCAGCCGCTAAACCACCTTTTGAGAGCGACAGCTAGTGCTGCAGCCAAACTGCAGGATCAAGCCCAAAATCATAGAACATGGCACTTTTGAACAGAACCAAACCGATCAACATATGCACTGGTCGGTTTGGATGTTTGGCTTTGATATGGCAAGGTATTGATAGCAAACGGAATGTACTTAGAAAATATTAATAAAAGAGCAACACAACGAAAAATGGAAAACGAGTTTCAGTACATGTACTGTACTTTATATTCTGCATTCGCGTTCGGCAGCAGATGTACATATACACATGGTGCATAGAGCGGGTATGTACAGTAAATTTCCGTGGCCCCTGATCACATGAAGGTGTAAAATGCACGCGGTGAGAATTCATTAATAACCCACCAAGAACACGCAAGGTGTGGCATTTCAGCTGCAGAGCATTACTAAATTCTCACTGCATCAAATTGTGTACATGCATATTCAGATAGACTTTATGTATGCCATTCTCCAATATTCATGCCCTAACGTTCCATGTTAGGCCAATGATGTCATAAATGAACGTGCAAAACAAATTTTGATTGGATGCTGATCGCAGTTGGACTCGTTTCAATTGAAAGCAAGTCCGGAGGGGAAAAAACAATTTTGCCAGGCAGAGCACGACGAGAGTTGGTCCACACAGGGGCCTAATACTAGGCCTAATCTTTCCCTTCGTTTGGTCAATAGTATTTATATGTTGTGATAGAATTTTGCCAGAGCTCCAGGTTGTTCGCAGATTTCAAATAAAATGCCGTAATCCATTCGAAAAAAAGATCGATGGAAAATTCAAAATTGCAACTTGGTCGCTGTCCTGGAAAAGAATGCTGACTTGATACCAGGGTCCTTCGAATACATGTATATTGAATGCCACAGTTTGGTAGTTGTATCTATTTCATGAAAAAAAAATAAGCAGAACACAATTCACTCAAAATTCAGTTTGATTTTGTATCCTGAAAAGTAGGAAATTCCTGTTTGAGCATACTGTTTTTGCTGTTTTCACATATCCTACGATCGTACTGTTGAGTCAAGTCTGCTATAAACATAAATGTTTGGGTTGGCAAAGTCATTCAGAAAATGTCACATTGCCTCCGAAGATAATATTCCACGGAATTTGCCTAAATAAATAAACTTTGGAAAAATGTATAAAACTGTTGAAATCAAAGTTGCTCATGGATACTGGATGGAAAACAAGATTCCAAAATAGTATTAATGTATCATTTATACACGGAAGTACTACAGCACGTTCGTAGCGAGCTCCCAATATGTCTCAGTGTGCATTGACCATTGGACATGCACATGTGTATAACACATGCACATGTACGTATGCACGAGCGTGGACATGTTGAAGTTCGGGAAAAAATCTCTTCACGACCATAACGACCCCATCGTCTTTAACAAATATTGAAACTGGTAGTGAGGGAACGAATTTTCCGCAGAACGGCTGTTGGTATTCATGAGGTCCAGAGAAATCATGCTTATTCATGATGCTTTTTGTCACAATGACAAAAGAGCACATGGCCGCCCGGCTCATTAAACCCCTCACGCTTCAGCACACCAATCCATCGCGTCAGCGGATTTCCCCCTATTTAGCAATGCCAGACCGATCAGAAAAAATGCAGACAATACGCCGAAGAGTGCTTAGTCAATTTGGGGATGACGCCTTAGCAATGACACTATAGGACAAACATGGCGGCAATGCATTGTGATAATAGAGGGCACACTACAGTTGATCAAGTTTTTAGCGACTGGCAAAAGGTGTACAGGGAAATTTGCATATATAGTGACTGTTTGGAAAGGATGATTGCAGTGGATGCTAAATTTTTTATTCAAGAGTGGCTCAGGTGGTACCTGTTTTCTGAGTGAGTTTCCTTTTTAAACTACCTTGTTTTCTTTGAATGGCTCGATGACATTACATACAAAAAAGTTACAGAATAATCCTGCCGTCAAAAGCCTTTCCACAATCACTCAGATATACACCAATGCTTTACAGTTGGGTCTACCGATAAAACACATACAAGGGCTGTAAGTATTAAACAGGCTCCCCAAGCAATGGAAATGGCTATACAGTAGGGGTTAGGGAGGCATCTTCCCATTTCTTTTTGAAAGCACTTAGAAAAAGTACTGCTACTGTCTCAGGGGATTGAGGATTCTTTCACAGGTAACAAGAATTTGGACAAATTGGACAGTCAATAGAAAACAAGTTCCAATTTCCAGATCTCCCCCCCCCCCAACTTTGATACCCACAGTGGCCAAACTCTTACACTTATCATGACTTAGGATTATGCCCCGTAGAATGGGTTGTCTACAAGGCAGACTTAAAAATTCATCTACAGACATTACATTTGATGGGACGTGCAATACCTGTTCCATCTAATGCAGCCCTCTGCAACGTATGAAAAGCAGTGTAAAACACAAACCCCGATGCTGCGTCAAAGTAGGAGTGATAAAAAAAGGTAGGAAAACTTGTCACAAGCGGTTGCATGCAGTCATAGTCTTCACTGCTGTCCAGTGGGAGGCCACGATAAAGTCTATCATAGTGCACCAGAAGAAAGGACGTCACCCCTGAAGGAAAACAGGGAAAGCAAAACAGGCTGAAATATTTCTGCCTAATATGTCAACAACATAATGTCAGCTCAGTCTGGACTGAGCAAGATAATCTAACATAGTATGACATAGCATACAAATATCGACTGCTGCAGTGGTGTAGTAAAAGTGGCCTTCCAAGGGGAAGTCTATTTTCCTGAGGCAAAAACTTGAGGGGAAATGGACTGCTTCATAGATCACCAAGGGAGGCCAGTGTTTACATCATGAGATATTTGTTTTATAACACCTCTCTCACAGACCCTGCTTGATTCAAGTGTTTTGGGATTAATTTGATCTCGCTCAATATGAAAATATGTCTGTAAGAAGGAAAACTTTGTTGAAAGTTTCACAGAATGTTTACACCCAGATCTGTAGTGCCACACATGTAGCTCTTTGGAATGCGTGCAATGCGCACACCAGTTTGCACTGCACACAGTGCCAGAAGTTATGGTTATAGTTCTTTGGTTGCCACTGGTATAAACTTTGGTTGCTGAGCATTTAATTGTTTTGGTTGTACACAACAAGATACCTGTAGTCAAAATAGTAAACATCATGTCAATAGCTCTCAGCCAAACAAGACACAGACTCAGTGGGTGAGGTCTTATAATATCACACAGTTCCACCTTGGTCATACCTTTGATCATCTATGGCAATGATATAAATTTGAAGTCAGTGCAACTTCATCAAAGATCAACCGGGAGAGAATGATTCAAAATTCATATCTGTCCCCATTTCTGCTACAAATGATGTTACATGACAGACCTTTTTTGTTATGTCCATTAGTGACAAGGCAAGTACTTTCTCTTGTTTACTGAGAGAACATACAATCTGGAGTGATCATACTCACTTCAAGGTTCTCTTGCTATGTCTAACCAATACTGCCATGGGTTGCAGGAAAAATCCAGGGTAAATGGTGAGTGATCTACAGCATGGCTGATGAGAGGTTAGTTTAGTGATGTTAATAAAGCACCTGTATGAGCAGATCTGGTGGCTTTCTCCAATTTCCATGCATAGAATAAGCCATGGGTATGTGCAAAAGAACATGCATTGTTACAGATTCCATACGGAGGGAAAGGGTGGGGGAGAAGGGGTCCGAGAGCCAATTGTTTATAATGGTCTGTGCGTCTCTTCCAGTCTTAGAACAGGAATGAGCAAAATCATATCCCCTTTCAAATTACATTACATTACAGTGTTTCAATTTCAGCTGCTGAAAATTTAGCTTTAGTCGTATGCCAGATGTCTAGATCAGCCCACTCCTGAATTACGACAAATTACAAATAAAGATCACATGACTAACTGCGGGATAACATCCAGAATGTCAACAGAGGAGTTACAGAGATTCGTTTCTGACACTTGCTTGGTGTGAAATGCATCAGGCATCTTTTCTAAACTTGTGCTGATACAGTATGCATTATAAACTATATAGCACTGATGATCATAGTCATGCCAAAAACCAAGCAAAGAACCTGGGTATGAAGCTACATCTGATTAATGACAGTTTCGAAAAGACCCAAGGACTATGTGCCAGGTATCACGCACAGGTTAGTGAAAGCTTTATATAAATTCCTCCCCTAAGTGGAGTGGGTTGGGTCTCCTAGTGATACTTCTGCCCTGCCTACATATGCAAATTTTCCATGTGTCTATTACAATTTGTTGAAAAGACCTGATTATGCATACTGCCCCCAACCCTCCACAATCCCGCCGCCATGTTCATCCTTTTTTTCAAAGGCGTGAAAACCACCCAAGCCAAAGTGGGAAGGATGGGAGGGAACAGCTGGGCAGGGGTAAGTATCACTGGGAGACCCGACCCACTCCACGTGGGGGATGAGGTTCCTGCGTTCACATACTCCTGCCAAGACTACATATGCAGAGTGGCACTGTACCCTGGAGGTGGGTCGGCGACGGGAGTGTAGTTACTAATAGAAACATAAGGTGGGCGTCGCCAGAGCAAGCACTCACCAGACGAAACCCCTTGGTTGAAGTATTCACCGTCTGGCCCACAACAGTGCTGGACATTGTCTGGACCGCCGAGCGCAAGGTTGCTGTGCCATGGGCTGTTTCGCTCTGCAGAACATCTTTCAAGTAACACTTGGTGAAGGTGGAGGGAGATTTCCAACAAGCCACCTGCCAGATTTCCGCTGGAGGAACTCCTCTGAAGTACACCCAGGACGCCGCAGCAGCCCGAACATCGTGGGTGCTGACAGTCGTTTCATCATGTTGTGCCGGCCAGTCTCGGTTAAAAAAGATGATGGCCGAGACTGTCCATTGGGCAATAGTGTGCTTTGACACCTGTTGAAGGGGTTTTGTCACCGTGATGAAGAGCTGGGAATTAGATTCTCAGCAATGTTTAGTCCTGGTAAGATCCAACTTGAGAGTCCAAACTGGACACCATCTCTTGTCAGAGTCATCTCCCGAAAGTGAGGCTATGTCGGGAACAAATAGGTTGGGAGACCAGAAGGTAAGCCTCTGGATTTTCGTCAGGAACCTGATAGTTGGGACAAGACGAACCCCGTGTGGCTCCCAGCGGTTGTGCCCATCGGCAATCGACAGGGCATGTAGCTTGCTACCTTGTCTTGATGTAACAACTGTGAGGAGGAGCACCAGCTTGGTACTGAGATGCAGGTCAGACACATCAGCTAGTGGTTAAAAAAAGGGGGGGCCTGGCAAAAACTTAAGGACAGCTTCCGAGATCCCAGGATAAGATGAGGCGTTTGATGTGAGGACACCCGACAAACATTCCTTGAAGGAGATATAGGATAGCAGAAGCCTGAGTGGACAGCTGGCAATGCCGACCAGTAGTTGCGGATGGCGGTAACCTGGAGGCCCGACTGTAAATGGATACTTTGACGTAGCTCACGGGAGCTTCAGTTGGAGAAATATCGGGGTCGTCGTACCTTCTAGTAAAATGTAGTCGGTTGACTTAAATCTTGTGAGTGGACAGCTGTTGACCCTGAGCCGAACTAGACGTACCATCTGCAGAAGAACCCAATGCCCTGAAAGGTCATTGGACAACATCCAGCATGTCAAGTGAAGACACTCCAGTGGTGGTTGGAGGATCTCTGACTTGGGCTGACAGAGGATGCACTCTCTGATGGGAAGGACCAGCAGCTGTTGTACCAGGAGTCTGGTCAGTCTTTGAAACCACAGTTGGTGAGGCCAAAATGGGGCGACGAGGAGGATCCGACATAGCTCCGTTCTATCTTGGACAGGACAGGACTCATCCTGCAGGACCTGCGGGATGAGGGAGATTGGAGGGAAGGCATATGCCAGAGGGACCGACCAGTCGATCTGTAGGGTGGCTGTCGCCCACGCCCATGGGTGAGGGAACCTGGAGCAGAACATTGAAAGGTGGGCACTGTTGGCGAGAGCAAAGAGGTTGAATTGAGTACGCTCAATCTTCGCAAAAATCTGGATGACAACATTTGGATAAAGAGTCCACTCTGTCAGCCGGACAGCACCCGAGAGAGTGCATCTACTGTGCTGTTGCTGGTTTCTGCTATGTAGACAGCTTGAAGGCTGATCCCCCGATCGATCGTCCACATGAAGGGTTCCCACGTTGAGGAGGGTGAGTGCCGCCCTGATGATTGATGTACACCACAGTCGTTGAGGCATCGCTTGAGCAGAACAACCTACAAAGTGACGAAGAGTGTTGGACACCACTTGTAGTTCTAACACATTGATGAAAGGAGCATGTAAAATGCGACAATGTGAAGTTCAGTGAACTCGGATGCTTGAGGAGTGGATGCTGAATTAAATGGCGTGGACACTGGTCAGAGATAGAGGGTAGCCTGTCCAGAGATAATGGTTGATTGTTACCGCGCCTAAGCGCCCCGATGACAAAGTTTCAGACGTCGGAGGGCTCGATGGGGTGTTGTGTCTGCGGGTATAGCGTTGACATCTATCGCAGGCATAAATGACCAAAATACTGGTGGGGAGAATAAAACACATATGGTAGACTGATCGTATCACATTTTATTCACTGGGATAACTCCAAAGAGTGGTAAAGAGATGCCCAAATAGCAGATTTCTCTCTTCCCTGCCTAGCTGGCCCCCGGCACGTGAGTCTCAGGCACTAGCCAGCAGTCCGATGCATAGTGTGGCGGTAGGCCTATGAGCTATTGTTCGAGTTGCGGTCAGGGTCAAACATGAGTGACCCAGACTCGTATTCACTAGTATACATGTATAGGGGTTGTACAAGCAAATGACGTAAGGTGGCCCGGTAGAGTATACATATACAGTACATGTAACTCATGCATGCCTGGTTGCCCCAAAAGTGGACAGATCAAGGCAGAGGTGTAGGCCTGGATAAGAAACGTCACCACATAGCAATGAAAAACATTTGGTCAAACAGTGATCAGCATTTGTTATTTGCCCGACCTTGGTTAACCCTAACAGTCCTCAGTCCTCCAACAGGTGAAGGATTGAGGAGTGTTAGGGTTAAAGTTGCCACATTATTGATTTATGTCCATCACTACAATGACCAACGATTGGAAAGAATTTGCACAAGATTGGGAAGTTGATAGTTACACCAACATTGGGTAAAATATCATCCAAATTTAACCAGCCTTTTTACAGTGCAGTTGTACCCGAATAAGTTGAAGAAATATTATTGAATGACTTTATTAAGCGCGAATTCAATTCCAAAAATAAAATGAATGGGCGTTCATATATTGGATGGACTGACAAAGCCGGAAATGAAGCTGGAAGTCAGAAGCTGAAGTTGGAAGCGGAACCAGTAACAAATCCGGGTGAGCATCCGGATGGGGATCCTCATGTGGGGGATTCGGGTCAGGAGCAGTCGCCGGGGGAGTGGAGGTTGAGGCGGCTGACTGCAGAAGATGATTGGTGTGCACTTCTTATGTGCTGGTGATCTGGCTGTAAAACCTGAAAACCCATGGCATCAGCAGAATGTCTAGAATGCAGGTCGTGATCAGCTGAAGCCGTCTGAGCCGCTACCGAGCTGTGATAGAAGCACCCTGGTCGGATAGCCCTAGACGGTAACCAGAAGCCATGCCGATGAATGGCCAGAATGTGCATCATCTCCATGCAAGAGCAATCCAGGGGGATCTCCGGGAAGATGGGTTCAGCTGACTTGAGACGTGAAGGGTGATGCTTGAACAAAGTGTGTCCTTGCCCCGCAGGCATAGGGTCTGATGATGGGAGCCTGAGAATGTGGCTAATATCATGCTCAAGAAGGCAGAGGTGGCCCTCAGGTTGGGTCAGGTCAGCAATAGAGTTAATGTTGTTATCCTCGGAAGAGAGAGGTTGAAGGCCCGCGGAGGGGAGAGCCCAACCATGTTCGGAAGGGAGAGAGTCACCATGATCTGGTCCCGGTCCCGTTGGGGAGGTGGTTCTGGCTGGATGACAGAAACCACTTCCGCCTTCGAGAACGCCCCTTGCGAGGGAGAAGGGACGGCTGGGAGGGGGTCAGGGTCGGGTGCCATCACCACTGGCCGAGGCTTAGAGTCTGTCTTATAGGCGAGAGAGGTGAAGACCTCCTTAGAAACCACACAATAGAGTTTACATTCCATTCTAAGAGACTAAAATTCATCAACCTAGCAAAAAAGTATCCTCTACTGTGGCTATCCTATATAAGCAGCTCAAAGTATTCTTCAGAATTGGAACTGGTGTGAAGATAATAACAGCCTCTCTCTGAAGTTACTCCATCCATTTTCCATTACTCCATTTTAGTTTCAGTGAAAATGGAGAGACAAATTTTGCATGCTTACTTCAGTTGAGGCATTCATGCATTTAGAAAATTATATGTAACATATTGGTCAAAAAGGCATTCATCATAGGCATAAAGCGTGCTTCTATTTTGTGGTGAGTTTCATAGGTACAATACATGGCCTTGCAACTTGTTACTCCAGTTGAGAGACTCGATAATAGTGTTTTTTTTTAAAGTACAGAGCTAAAAACCCTATCAGGTTAGTTATTAAGCACGCATCTTGAATTTTTGGTTAATTTTTGTTGTTGCAAATGGAATATCTACAAATGGCAAAGAGTCCATTCCAACCATGAAATCAAGTTACAAAAGAAAACATTAAAGACACAGAAGTACTAGCATGTGTCCGCTAAGGAATACATGTATACTTGAGCTCAGAGCAGTTTTTCGGCCAGCCGGCCAGCCACGTGTGCAAGTGGTGTGGCGCTCCAGGGATGAGGCAGTCATGTTTCATTGCCATTTACGTGCACTCTACTCACATAAAGAAAACCAGTCCACAAGGACTGAATAGACTTATAAATGTAATGTAAGTTCTGTTCATGCCTCACAAATCGTATTGTGCATCTGATCATTTTTATGTGTTTTATCACTGTAAAAATCCATAATGTTTATTTTTGATATAAAAAAAAGAAAAACTGCTCAATGGCCCACCAAGCCAGGGCACTCATTGAGGCCCCCCAAAATTTCGAGGACTTAGAAAGGTTTAGGTTTTACATCAATCCCAGTTCATGTGCTGCTTACATTTCAAGTGGAGCAACCCTAACATTAGACACTTTAAATCATTTTTTAAATGTACCCCCAAATGATTTGTAACCAGCTTGTAGTGGGATTGTGAGTGGAAGTAATAATGATTTACTGGAATTTATCAATTTTGAAGAACTTCTGAAATGTTTCTGTGAGATTTTCTGACTTTTAAATGTGCGCCAAGTTAGGGGCACTCGGCTGTTGGGGGCACTGACGTGTATGAATTTTGGACGAAAGTTCACAACACAGAAATTGTTTACTAAAGTTCAAAAGCCTGTATTATGAGAGTAATAACACCAGTATTTAACCAAGTGGATTTGAAGTTTTTCAAAAAAGTGTGTAGGCAGCACTTCAAATGAACCATTTAGTACTCTGCATGTAATACTCTGCATGAACTGGCACTTCAGCATGTAGCACTTGTTCCATTCATTTGATAACATCTACTACCAATTTAGGCAGAATTTTGCAAGATTGGCTTACTTGTACAGTTTGCAGAATCCTCGTTCAACTTATAGCCTATGTCACATTTACACTGGTATCCGATGCCTTGGTTGTCAGACTGACGGGTGACCACACAAAGATGCTGACATCCACCATTGTCCGTGCCACAGGGGTTTGGTGCTGAAAGCAAATGTGCACTCAGGAGTTACTGCAAATTACTGATTTAAACCTAATGTGAAAGTTCAACTGAGGGTGAAGTAAGAACTCTATGTTCAAAAACCATTTTATGCAGGCCTATACACAACCCGAATCCCAAAGTCAAAGTGTGTTGATGTTCTTTCCACTACAAAAATGATGGCAAAATATTCGCAAAGAAAGAACTCTATTCTCATTGCTGTGTTACAACTGTTTTGAGGTCTTGATAAACTAAGTCTTCTTGACAACGTCTTTCCACACATGCCATTACCAATTGGTTGAAGTGATGAGTGGTAAACAGCCACACCATTGGCCTCTTCTTCTGATCCAGGCAGGCTGACTGTAATGTCAGAGGTCCAGTTGAAGCGGTCAGCCCGCAGCACCGCATCTCTGGTGTGGTCAGCAATGAATGCATAACGGTCATAGATGGCCAGCATCTGGGAGTTGGGTAGAACTAGACCACCCTCAAGGATGGTGTACCTTGGGGGTCAAGCAGAGGAGCTAAGTCAGGAAATGGGAAGCAACGAGTGTTAGAAACGCGCTTGGATATAGCTGTCTTCCAAGCATCAGGCCCTGTATTTACCTTGACCATTGTGCCCTTTTTAGTACAAAATCCCCAAAGCCCAATAAAACAACTAAAATCCTTGATTTCTCTTGATTTATAATGGGCATTGCATTTTGATGTCATGAAAGCCCAACCAGTTGTTGTCGAATCTCAATGACTCAGTCACACATCCATTGCGAGGTCAACAACATGAACACAACCTGAATCTAGCTTTGTCAACCCCAATAGAATACACACACCAGCACAAATGCACAATTTACTACATGCATCACAACATGCACTGTGTATATGTCTGAAGTGTGCTGAGCCTGATACCCTAAGCAGCAACACCCCGCCCCCTAAATAAATGTCTGTATTCAATCCCATTCTAGTAGCTGTACATACTACGTATAGCAGATCTTACATGCAAAGTTAACCAACTACCTCTTTCTCTGCACTTGCAAGTGCAGCACACAATTCACATTGATGTTTGTGTATGAGGAAATCGCAGATAGTCATAGGCCCATCATGTGCACACATGCAAGGTTTTGTGATCGTCTAAATATTTTATGAATAACCTATTTATTCTTACATTTTCAGATAACAAGAAGAACAGAAAAAAACCAAGAAGTTTATGCCTGTTCGAGAACAGAGCATAAGGCTTTTCCACATTTTGTATGTTTCTGATGAAAAAAAGAATAGGGCTTTAAAGAATGGACATTAAATGTCACATTATCTTTGTCTAGCTATCTGGAAAGTTCAATCACACATGGACTCTGGGAGATATGAGGCTTTAACTAGTGCACCTTTTAATGTCGCGTGACTTCTTACTTGATGAGGTCATCATCACATGAGGTCAATTTTCATCTATAACCCTTTCTTTTCTAGTTATCTGCATAGTTTCAACCCGATGGAACACGTACTTCAGGAGATATAGGGCTTTTAAAAGTGCACATTTAAGGTCACGTGACTTGCCACCTGATGACATCATTATCACATCAGGTCAAGTTTGGTCTGCATCACTTTCCCTTTATAGTTATCTGCAAAGTTTCAACCCCATGGGACACAAACATATACATCAGGAGATTTTGGGATTTTTAGAGTGCACCTTTAATGTCACGTGACTTGCCACCTGATGACGTCATCGTCACGAGGGCATTTTCTGTCTATATTGCTTCCCTTTTTAGTTATCTGCAAAGTTTCAACCTGATGGGACACATACTTCAGGCGATATAGGGCTTTCAAGAGTGCGCCTTTAAGGTCATGTGACTTGGTACCTGATGATGTCATCATCACACGTGGTCCATTTTTGTCTTTGGTACATCCCTTTCGAAATATCTGCAAGTTTCAACCCAATCAGGCATGTACTTCAGGAGATATGGGCCTCTGAAATTTGCACCTTAAATGCCATGTCACGTGACACGTGGTGACGTCATGATGACGATTTGTTTTGGACCCTGTCTACCCTAAGGAGGAGCAAGTGTGGACCTAATATGTATTGAGTCAAGATCGAAAAAAGGGCCTAGCTGTGATGTTGAAAAATGTGTACGAGAATATGGGAAAATATTAAATTCCACAATAAATCAGGTGATGACGTCATAATGACGTCACCTTTTGAAAGAGACCCCTGCTATAAGTTACTTAAGTGTGTAAAGTTTCAAAGTCATATGACTTTGTTTAATGCCCAAAGAGGTGACAAGAAAAAGTGGGGTTAAACCAAGAAGAAAAAGAAAAAAAAAATAAAAAAGTAAGATAAACAAAGCCTTTTCTGCACTGTATGATGGGCCAAAACTGCTGGGCAAAGAGAGATTATAGGAGGCAGCCAAAACCGAACTGGAAACGTCAGAAAGCAAGTGCAACAAATTTGAATTCTTTATTTGGTTAAGACACTCACCCAATGCAAGTATACCGCAGGGCATAACTTTGTTATTTTTTTTATTCAACGTCCATACCCAAAGTTCTGAAGACATTATTTGGCCTTTGTGCCTTACCTACGGGAGCCTTCTTTGATTTTGTATCAATCAATGCCAAAAAGACCTTGCCTTAAAAAATTACCAAGTTCAAGGCTTGCTTTCTTGCTCCTTCTATGGTCCTTACATGTGCATCTATCATGAATATTTTCATTTCAATGGTTCCTTCTTTGCGGGAAAAGCTGACGGAACTTGTCTATGTCTGATACCAGGGGTGTGAGTGGAGCATGAGAAAAATAGCTGAAATTACCAGCGCGAAGCACAAAGGAGATACGGCGTGGGGTCCAGAGCCGGCTTAAGGGCCCCGGGAAAATTTTGAAATGTAGATGCTCTGTGGTGCATTTTACAGCCTCCTCATTTTTTTCATGCAAATTATGCATGTTTTCCTTTTAACTTTTTTCTTAATATTGCCTAAAACAACCTGAAGGTTAAAATGAACTAGTATTTCAAAATGGTAAATATCAAGGTTTGTAGAGTAAATTAGCCCTTTTACCACCAGATTCAACCCCGTTTTCAAAAGTTCAATTCTTTGCTACAAAGAATGTACATCACATGTCCAAGCTTTTGGATTTTACCGGTGTGGATTGTGTTGCCTGCGCTAGTCTACGGTGTAAAGTATTCCATCAACATCCATTTCTGCTGATTTGCAACTTGAGGATCGGTCTTCTCAACGGGCGCATCTAAGTCAGAGCCTCTTTGGACAATTATGCTCTTGTGTTGCACTGACATGTTGATGAGTTTATGGTCCAACAATCGCTTGAAATCTCTCACAAAACAATGCACAGAGTACATAAAAACTGCACGATAATGGAGGACACAAGAACTTTGTCCCGCACCAGTTGTCATAAAGCGCTTTATCAGCAAGAACAAAAGTTTCCTATCCTTATTCCAAGCTGCAAATTTACAGTGTAAGGTGTATTACTGCTAGTTATAGTGGAGATTGTTAGTAACTACTTCGGCTGACACAAGAATGGCTATAACGAGTCCTTGTGACACATAAATGTATATGAATATTGACATTTCATTGACAGCCAATCACAACACAATGACCAAATGATCTCGGGATGCTGTTTACATGCAAGGCTTACACTTTGAACTGCGCTGAAAAATTTGCCAGTCCAGGAAATTATCATCAAAAATCCAGCTCAAAGGAGTTATCCTAATTGGAGAAAAAGGATCATTTTCCTCAAGTTTCCTTAACCACAGGAGAACAAAGGAATGTCCACACTTCGTATGTAAAACAGGTATGTGTGTATGATACCCTGAATCGTGTGCATTACAGTGCTCCAGTACTGTTTTACACATGTTCAGTGTCAAAAGGAGGATGTGCAAAATTTGGCCTAGTCCTCGTGTTGGTAGAAAAAGAAAAAACAAGGAAAACCAACACTTGTGTAAGGAAGAAAAACGAGGAAAATCTAGCCCACCGTGGCAAAACAGTGGAAAATGAATTTCAGCACACTGAACAAAAAAGCAAGCAAAAAAAGAAATGGGCCTTGAGTATACGCATCAGCCAAGCCACCTTCATCAAGTTGGCAGCATAAGCAATGCTCATAGCTCCTGGGTTTACACAGCAGATTGTGACTACAATGATTAAATAACACAATGTTACACAAAATAAAACCCGTAAATATTTTAAGTCAAAGGAAATCTAAAAGATCATTACAGTGTGGGTATTCAGTGCACTGGTCATTCAAAAGTAACAGCATGAAGGTGCATGCTAAGTGCATTCCACAGCAAGACATTTCTGATGAATAAAAGTACATTCCACAGCAAGACATTTCTGATGAATAAAAGTGCATTCCACAGCAAAAAATTTCTGATGAATAAAAGGGGAATACACATATGATTGTACCTTTTATGACCATCATAGGTTATTGTCACAAGACAGTCCAAGGTGTGATCCACCCAGTAGATCCTACTCGCAGGGATGTCTACAGCAATCCCACTGACTGTGTAGACTTTCTGGTCAGTCAACACAAATCGGTGCGATCCATCCATAAAAGCTCGTTCAATTTTTTGGGTTTCTACGTAATTGGAGTAATAAGTGTGCCATGTGTCCTGTTGGAGATTAGCATCGCCAAAAAACATGAACCTATGAAAGAAAATGAGTCAAATGTAAAAGATCACTCACTCCGTGCAATACACCTTTTCCGTAATATCTCACAATTATTAGCCTTCATCTACCAGTGGTTGACAAACTGCATAAGGCGATCAGTGCAACAAAACAACTCATAGCATGTTCAAACATATCAGGCAGCCATTACAACATTAATATTAACGAAATGCCAAGTACTAACTCGAAAAACCTCACTCTTTAATAGAAATGAAGTGAACATACAATTTTAGGGAAAAGCTACCGCCAACCAATGGCAACAAGTCTGTATTTCTAGATGCATTGGCTAATATGAACTTACAAAATAATGCTTTTCAGCCCTGAGTATCCTTATTCCAAGCTGCAAATTTACAGTGTAAGGTGTATTACCACTACTTATAGTGGATATTGTTAGTAATACTTCGGCTGACACAAGAATGGCTATAACGAGTCCTTGTGAAACATAAATGTATATGAATATTGACATTTCATTGACAGCCAATCACAACACAATGACCAAATGGTCTTGGGATGCTGTTTTCATGCAAGGCTTACACTTTGAGCCGCGCTGAAAAATTTGCCCACACAGATTTGTATATACGACGTATGCATGTACATATGCAGGCGCAGCATACATAGTGTGGACCTCTGCACAAAAGAAGTCCACATAATGTAGGGTGCGATGGCATTGTGTGGACTCACACACATCCACACAATGTTTTCCCTTTTCTGAAAAACAGTTTCACAGGCATTTCGGGGTCAAGGTCAAGGCAAAATGAAGAGGAACAGTCAAGGAAATCATCTTCAAAAATCCAGCTTGAAGGAGTTGTCCTAGTTGGAGAAAAAGGAGCATTTTCCTAAAGTTTCCTTAACCACTGTAGAACAAAGGAATGTCCACACTTTATAAATCAGGTATGTGTGTGGAAGCAGGGTTTCAGGTGGTTGACACGTGAGCCCAATTACAATTTCAGAGCTATGCAATGAATCAGACTAAACATGTATCGACTAAGGTCTGCAAGTGCACCTTGAGAAACTAGGAAAACACTGTAGCATGGGTTCGGGAGATCAGCAAGGGGATCAGCATACGGTATGCAACACATGAGCCCAGCGGATGTGTATTTCTAGCAGACTTTAAATATCCAAATACAACCAGCATCACTCTCAGAATTGTTGCTTCGGGCCAATCGTGATGCAAATACTTTGGAATCATTAGGAAATTCTGGAGAAATCTCACGACTGGAGAAGGTACATGTCAAGCCCTGCCAAACCTTCAATACATGGGATATGAAACCCTTCAAAAGTTGAATGTTCCTGCAGTGGTAGATTTTGTAAGATTCAGGAAAGGATTCAGAAACATTTCAGCTCCAGATGCCAAGCGAGTTGAGGTCATCAAAACTCAACTTGGCCAAGGTTCTAATGTGATACAAAGGTCATTAGGTCAACACAGATGCATACCGTGGCTTCATGACGACGCCACTGAAATCTCTAATGAAGAGTCTGTTTCATACAGAAACCTAAGTTCACAAAATTTCAAATGGTACCTCATGTTCTTCCTGAAAATAGTTGAAAACAATAATATTGTTTTACCCATTGACAGGGTCCAAAGCTAATCCTGATGGCGACTTCAAACTGGAACCAATGACTGTAGTTCGATGGGATCCATCCAAATTGGCCATTTCGATGCGATTGCCCATATTCTCCAGAATGTAGAGCTTGTCAGACACCCAATCAACAGCAAGCTCCGAAATACCAGAGTTCCCGACCAGCTGTACAACTACCTGTGGGCTGGACGGGTTGCCCCCCCGGAAGTTGCAGGAGAACACCTGCTGGGAAAAGTCCAGTCTTTATGACAAACCCAGCGAGGCTATTTCCCCCCCCCCCAAATCAGGTCTTTTGGCTCAGTTTCCAGCCTGGGCTTCATGTAAGTCAGGTTTTGTGTGAATAGTTTTAATAATACACTGATAAAAGACTTTATAGTATTATGCACTTTATAAGAAATGTTTATTATTATCATAATTATATCATTATGGGCACGAAGGTGACTTGCGAAGCATCACTGACATTCTTTATTCCAATGTTTCACTTTGTGTGCTCATACACATAGAGCGTGTTAGTGTTGACGCATCATGATTATATTGTGACTGTGTCATTATACGCTTGTAGTGTGCTTGTAGCTTTTTTTTCCCACGTATTAATGGAAGGGAGCATTAACCCTCATCCTATGTGTATGTATTATCATATTGAGATTGGAGGATTGAGGACTGTTAGGGTTAATACACTGAACCCCTCAGCTTCCGATATTACTTGCCTTGTCACTGTTAGGGGAAGAGAAGAAAATCTTCCCTTGTGCATAGTGGTAAGCCAGGTGGCCTGGGGTTGCAAACTGGGGTACCGTGGTGATACTTGTCGCCTGCTGACCATTCAGATTGGAGCGGGTGATTGTTTGGCCTGATGAGACCAGAAGGTACGGGACATCTCGGGCTGGTAGAAAGAGGGGAAAATCGCGAAGGGAAATAGTGAAATGAACTATACATGTACATGGGATGAACTATGGTAAATGGGAAATTCAATAAAATGAGTTATATTCTGTGTTGTATCAAATAATTATTAAATAAAAACTCCTACTGTGTTACAATAAATTATATTCTGTAAAACTTGGCATGTTCATGTTTAACTACACATTAGATTAACTGCACTTTTAACTTGTACAATGCACACATTTCTTTTTGTCCAGTGTTTTGAAGTAGGGCTTTGCTACTATTTATTTCTGTTGTATTACACCTGCCATAAGCTTTACTTTTCTAGGTTCAACTGCCTTTGTTTTGGTGTTTGTATCCTTTGCCAATTCTGCAAATATAACTTTTTTTTTACTACTGCCAAGACAGGAAATTTAACGTCCAAGAATGGCATAAACTTTTCTGCACTACGTGTTGGATGTCTCTGTGCCAGTAGTGGTTAGGGTTACATTTCTGAGTGACAATCCAGGGGCCGAGATGCCAACTTTTCAAAATGAAAAATAATCCCATTGCACTTCAAGTTCCAGTTTCCCAACTGACCCTAATTTTTCTACACAACCTTATAAATTTTCAGCCGCAAATTAAAACAAAAATATAAGAATTTTTAAAAATCCTGTTCTCTTTTCTTTCAAAAAGACCACGTCACAACTTCTTTTCAAATCAAAAGACTTGTATTTACCTGACTAGCATTGTGCAAGTATGAATTGTAATTAATTGTTGATTATATTTTTTATTTTAATCACTTCTGTGGCAATTTTTGGCAACTTTCGTCCCATTCAATCAGCACAAACAATTTTTCAAAAAATCCTTACCTACTGACCCTATTCAATTGGAAGCAGAGCTATTTTTTCTTGGCCTTACTAATGTGCTTTGTGGTGTCGTAAGGTCTAGCGTGGGCAAGATTTATCATGTCACATGCATTGCACAACACGTGAGCTTCTCCACAACAAGACTTTGCAACAAAGGCCCATTTTTGTGGTGTATTCGTCCTTGAACTTCTGCTCACTTGTTCAGTTGCTCACCAAATAACCAAGAATCAAATCCTTAACAATCCTCCACTCAGGTCAACTTTAGCTCGAACTTGATGTTTGACACACGTGTGTACGATATTGGTGCATGTACAATGCGTGAACGTACACAATCATGTTACCAATGAAGTGCAATCATGCCTATTCCTTATAGCATTAAATGGGGCAAACAGATGATTCAATGACACTGGTTTCTGCCCCTACTCATGCAGCCTGTATGCACCAACTGCGGGATGCCAGCGACACATTTCTGAAGCGCGCATTACAAGGCCGGCTACACGCTAGCTTAATACATAGAGTCTATACACAACTGTACAGTTGTGTACCTTAAGAATGGACTAAACAAATCGTAAAAATTACGCCTAAATCATACAAGGTGGCAACTCTGCAGGGGCACATACTCTTGCAAGGCATAGCGAGCACTGAACTCAAATGCCGTGTTGTTTGCTCCTGGCCTGAATGCACATCACAAATTCAAATGGGGGGGGTGCCAGAGAGGAATTCAACAGAAAGGACAGATGGTCATTATTACCCAGTGATCTGCAGTGTCCGTTTGCTTCAAGAAGGTAGCCTTCCGCACACGAGCACTGGTATGAGCTTGGCACATTCTCACAGCCCTGCTCGCAGTAGCCCCAGTGGCTACACTCATCAAAATCTGTGATGATAAGAGAAGAGAACAAGAGTTTCGGTGTAGGATGTGCTGCATGAGATGAAACATGCTGTACTGCATTAGGTATCTCTCAATCTGTTCATTCATACAGGGTAGAATTTTCAAAGAGGAATCGCAGGCAACTGCCTTGATGCCCAATTAAATGTTCCCACAGATCAGTTGTTTCTCCACTATAAATAGTAACATTAATATAAACTTATAAAGTGCACTTATCTCGGAGCCCAATCAAGGCACTGTACATTACTATTATCCATGCTTACCTGGTCAACTAACATTTCTTAAACCATCTCAACTCCCTCTGGAGCATAAAGCTTGATGTTGCCAAATCCGATGCTAACAGCTAAATCAAACCTAACCTGCAACTTCTCGAATGCATGCCCCTCATTCATAAAACAGAGCAGGTGCCTAGCATCCACGCGGCATCATTTTCCAATTCCATTTCAAAACAGTCATACTGGATCTACGCCTACCTTCGCAGGATCTGTTGTTGGAACTGACAACATAACCAGCGTCGCAATAACATATCCCGCCATTAGGTGCCGAGTGACAGCGATATTCACAACTCAGAAACCCACAAGAATTTGTACCTGATTAAAAACACAAACAAGTTACACAAACAATGGTCTACACAGAACAGTATTTGAGTAAATTGACAGATATGCTACAAAAATGTTTAAATAAGATTGAGCTAAATAGAAATGTATGACAGGATCTGCATATAGCCTTCTTCAGATAGCAAAAAACTCTAGTGATTCCTTCACTGGTTGAGCTCCAAGGTTATTGGCAAGGGAAACTCAACAGGTTTAAAGTGTTATGCTGATATCGAGGGCAGTATATGAGACTGCTCACTCTGACATCAATGGTCATCTGCGACTTCTAGTATCTCGGCGTATACTTACAGACCAGGACAACCTGGTGGTATCAGCAGAACTGAGTGAAGGTTGACCATAGTTGTACTACAATGTGGTGTGCAAATGACAAACATGTAGATGAGATCATGAAAGGTTTTATTTGATGTATGCCATGGCACCCGTCCTGCTCATCTACTTTTAATCACTAGTGCTGTGGATAATATCCCCATCAACACTGTGTGGACTCTGAAGTTTTTATAGGAGAGCTTATTATATCTATGAGTTGGGGCCCTTGGCCATGGCCAATTTTCTCCCCTTTTGGTCTCCCCTAAGCCTGCAAGCTTGAACTCACTGCATGGTGTCTGCTCATCCTCTCCACTGGGGCAGTCCTGTCTTCCATCGCAGAGTTTATCCAGGGCGATGCACTTCCGGAAACTCTCCGGGCACGGCCACTGCTGGGGTGGGCAAGAGAAAGTCCCCACTACCAAAAGACATCAGAAAGAAACATCAGCCAGACAGTTTCAATTAATGCTGAGAAGCTTGGATGACAAGGGTGACAATGTGCAATTTTAAATGACAAAACAAAACCCTGTGTCTGACTGGATTCAAACTCTGGTGATGTACAAATAATGGAGGCCTTTTCACTCATGCAAATTTACAGGAAAAATCTGTCATTGGACAGCCAAGATTTAAACCTACCACAGTGGATCTCATCAGATGCATCACTGCAATCCATCACACCGTCACATACATAGCTGGACTGAATGCACTGACCACTGTTACAGGTGAACTGGTCACGGGTGCACGCATCGTGTGCTGTGAAACAATCAGTCAGACTATGTGAGAAAACTGTCGATGTGTGACATCACCTGTATGTTGAGGCGAATTGATGAATGCACAATTGCCTCCCCCACCCCATGAAAAAGAGAGAAGAGGTTGGACCAACACTTGGATGATGATGTTGTTGCGTACACACTGTCAGTTTGTGAAAATTCTGAGCTTGTGAAAACTCTGATGAATATTACTTATGGGTGCTCTGCACCACACACGTCTGGATGAGTGTGGCAATGCTGCATTGTGCTTGCTCATCATATACCCAGCTTCGAAAGACATTAACCAAGTCTGTGCACTGTTTTTGTGTGTTCAGCTGTGCATGACTTGTGACACATTTAAAATCTCTTTGCCAACATGATGCATGGTGCACCTGTAGCAATTAAAGGCAGTGTGGAGGATTTGCAAGATCTCAAGAATGATACTGTCGAATTATCTTGAAATATCTTAATGCAATGTAACTACCTAATAGTGTCGGCATCTATGAAATACAATCTTTGTTCAAATACCGCAACCATTAAGCAACAAAAATGTGCATAAGGCATGAGCCGTAGGAAGAGTCTATATGACAAACGAAATAGATACATTTACTGTAATTAACAGTCTAAAGGAGAATCTAGACTGCTTTAAAATTAAAGTTTCTTCATGAAACTTTGGAAGTTCACCTCACGTGATTACATCATCTCGCTCTCACCCCTTAAGATAATGGCATGGTCCAATGGCTCTTCCTTTGGGGCTCCGTAGCGAAGCCTGGTTTTCTCAAACAAAACCTCCAATTTCGAGACATTTAGCTTTCTGCTTTCCAATAACAGTAACTCTCATACCCAAATGCAAGGACGGTTACCATATTTGTTTATTTATGAAGTGTTTATGATGGGCACTGATGGTGTGTGGACTTTGTTTGACTGATGCATGTATGTGTGGACAGCGAACAATGACTGTGGCCAATCGTGCACGTGTACATGCACATGGTCGCGCAGTGACTGTGGTGATTGCAGTCACTTTCCAAAATGCTGTTTATTTGACAAATTCTCATCGTTGCATTGTGCAGAGGAAATACAACCTTGAAGGTAAATTTGCTAACCACTAGTATTACACGAAGCCATAGAAAAAAGCATTTTTGTGGGCCATAATTGGTCTGTAGACATGAAAGGTCAACCTCGCCTGTGCATTGTACAGGAACGTCCTGTGGCTCATGGATTTTGCGAGAAAAATTACAAGAGCTGCGCTTTGAGGATTGAAAATAAACAACATTTTTCTCGCAATAATCTCCAAAAAATGGAACATGTTTGTGGAATGATACACAAAGTACATCACAAACCCCCATAAATCAGCTCAATTTTGACGAATTACAGCAGATGCAAATCCTATACACTACCTTTAGTGCAATGGGTAATAACCAACTTTACTCAGCATTGGGATGATTTAACTCTACTTCAGTTGACTGCAACTAATTTAGTAGAAACAGGGAAGGGTGTTCTAGTGGTTAGGGTTTGTAACTCCTGAACATAGGATCTGGGTTTCCATTTCAGCACCCAGTTGCATGTTGTGACCTTGGCAAAGTCAGGTTACTCCCATTTGTCTCTTTCCACCCGGATGTAAAAATAGTCAGAGAATGGGCCGGAGAAACAGCATCAAGCTGTGTGTACCCCCCCAAAATGAAACAGTTTCAGCAATATTAACAGGCCAAGTGAGCAGGGATAACTGTAGATGTGCAGACTTCATAAACATCAATAATTATCTACTAATTATCTAACTTCTCAAAAATGCATGAAGATGAAATCAACAAATATATATAACAACTTCACATTTTTCCCATTTCATCAAGAGGGGGATTTTTTTTCAGTTAGCATTTTGCAGTATATAGTGTTTATTACTTAAAGTTTTAATAACTCTAAGCTTTTGTACTGACGGCCAGCCATAGATTTACCGGCTGCTGGTAGACAAAAACCACAAATGCAAATGGTATACCTAAACAGTTCAAAGTTCACATGGTAATTGTATGATAAGCAAACAGTCTTGTGGAAAAGATTTATGAACCTGATTTGTATTAATATATTATGACAACTTCAGAGGTGTGGTAAGACTTGAGAGTGACTCATCAGGCACTTTGCTTTCAAATAACTATTTGCCAGATAGGCTGTAGCTTTCTCTGACAAAGAGTCTTTATCCATGTTGCACTCAACTGCAATTGACTTCGTCCGATGCATCCCAGCAGTCTGAGTAGTGATCACATCGGTAGTAGCCAGGGAGGCACTCTCCACTGCCACAACGTGTCCGGGTTGGATGGCACCTGGCAGAAGCTGTAGGATTAGAAATGAAATGAAATTCTCTGACCAGATTTGGAGGAAAATGTTATGATAAAAAAATTATCAGAACCGAGTATTGAAGGTTTATCTATCAAAACTTTGCCATCCAAACGCCAAATTGCAGTTTACTGACTTAAAATCCCAAAGACGTGAAAAAAATATTTAAAAATGACCAGGACATTAAAGGCTACTACAACACAGCCAACTAGAATGGACATAAACTGAATAAAGATACAATGATCACTGAAAAACAACCAAATATAACTGACAAACAAATCATAGTAGTGATGCAATGTAGGGATAGTAACGCCGTTGTACATCTTTGACCTAAATAATATAGAGCTCAGATGAAGAGGTCATTCTGAATAGACTGACCCCATGCATGATTAATTCCTCCCCCTCCTACACATTACCACCACCAATACTGTAGTGGCAATGCAACAAACTACATGTACTCTCAATGTCGTGTAGGAGACAGCCCTGGTACATGTGTTTGCCACAATTTTTGATGAATGGGTCAGGAACTGACTTGTGAAAATATTGTCTAAATATTGTCTAATTTCAGCGTACGTCAATCCCCAAATCAGTAGATAACCAGCAAAGGCAAACAGGTAGGAAAAGATTCCCTCTTTGCTCCTCTCACTTTCTATTTCTCACACACAGCCCATGGCATTTCACTGAGAGATGCCTTATGTAACTATCCACTGCTATTAGCCATTGACTGATCTCCGAGTCTAGCTGTGTTACGGTCTTGCCCCTGTGTGGAGGGGCACTTTTAGTGGTGTTGATTATGAGTCTCAGGGAACTGAACAATACTGGTCATCCCAGCCTTAACAGCATGAACAACTGACACAGACTCCCAGAAAGTGTTGATGGCAAACGGATGCTGGTCAAGAATATGAGATTAAAGATGTTTCATTTCACAGACTGTAAGACTAGACTCAAGTGGGGATCCTGTGGTAGCATTGGCCATTCTTTGTTGTCTGTATTCCCTGTACTGTACATGTATAGACTTTTACTTTGTAGGCCTACTATCAAGTGTCAGCCCACTTTATCTGAGTGCACTCTTCCCTTTTGTGCCGATACATACAGGCAAAACGCTGTGTACATGTATGTATGCATGTGAGCTGACATTGATGACATCACCAGATCACAGAATGGCAATTAACTGAAGGCACCGTAAATGTTGATGCAAGATGGAGGAACAGCAATCAGGTGAGGGCACTCTATATAAGCTAAAGCCATTAAATCACAACCGATGCCACATATTGCCCATAAGGCTATCCGACTGAATAAAGTGGAAGTAAGTCTCACTTACTTTATTTTATCTCTCATCGAATATGTTTATTGGGTTTTTTCTTTTTAAAAGCCTACTCGAGTCAAGTCTGGAGACTCTGCCTCAGGCACAGCTTTGCACAGTGAAAAGGGAGTCAGAGAGTAAAGTCATCCTGTTTAATAATACATGTTTAGTACTTCAGTGCAGCAAAATATTTAGACGAATTAAAGCAGCGAATGATAGCTGACCTCCTCTCTGCTTCCATGGTTCCAACTTAATGTCTCAACAAAGCATTCTTGTTTGTTTCTCTGAAAGTCACTGCATAAACCTGACCAATTGGATTACTTAAAAATTTTACCACCCTGTTCTATGACAGAATCCATTGACCCAACAAAATGTAATAAATATGGAGTAAAACAATGGCTAACATCATTTCCTTGAAAAGTTTTACACTCTCATTGCTTGAAAAAGGTCACCCTTGAGTACTTCACTGTCAGCCCCCAAATTCCAAGGAACTCCAAGAAGATGTTTTCATTTGGCCACCTGGCCTTGATGACCATCTGGTACTCACTACTCTGACCAATTCACTTTTTAATAATTAAAGGTGCATCCTTTTAATCTAGGTCCACCAAATTCCAACCTTATGACACAATGAAATGTAACATCCAGGCCATATTTTCATGAAGACATAATTGACTCCTCCACCTGCAGTCAACATCTGAAAAATAATCCAAGTAAATTATTGACTTAACCACTTCATGCCGGGGCATTTTTCAATCTTGATGATGCTGGGCCGGCATGACTACGTTTTTTCCGTTTTCAAAATCTTTCAAAAATTCATCATTTCATTTAACGGTCGTAATCTTTAGGCACTACTCTAAGTTGACAGGTAACCTTCATTGATGCCCAAGTATTTCAGCCAGGCCAGCAGCCTTGTAAACAGAGCCCAGATTGTGCAGTGTTGTATAACTGTCATTTGTTCACGAACCTGGCTCAGTGCACTGCTGACCTCTTTTCAATTGGGGCCAGATTAGCGTGCAGCGGTGCTGTGTGGCTCATTGCTGCGGTGGTGGAGCGCTTTTGTCCCCGGTGGTAATCCGCTTGCTCTCAATGCCCCAAACCCTGGTATACGGTTTCAAAACAAGGCTGGATAATCACCACTTTTGAGAGTGAAAAATGTCGGTAATGCCCAGCAGCCTAGTCTTTTGTTCAGAGTACGGTCTTTTTCTTACGGGGCCCTGTTTCCTTTGTCCAAGTTCGAAGACCCCGGCCACGCATATAAACCATACATCTCCGATTCCAGGGTCCCCGGCAGGTAGTGGTTAAGAACATACATGCTCACAACTGAAAAGACTTACAGCAGTTTTGTTCATCTGAGCGATCCCAACAATCAACTTGTCCACTACAGTGGAGATTGTCATTGATGCACTGCCCACTGTCACAGGTCCACTGTTCTGCACTACAAGTGGGAAAGTCTGTTGAAACCAAGCAAGGGATTCAGGTTATACCAAGCTTCATAGAAGCCATTAAGGTTCAGTGTGGTAAGAACATAAGACATTATTATTGTCAATGGAAGTAGCACCATTTTTACTGTGCACCAATGTACATGTACATTGTGCTCAAAGACGTGGCAGTTTTTGTGCACATTCACAAGAAAGCTGGCTACCTGCAATCAAACCATTCAGAGAAAGAAATAAGAATACCAATTTTTAATTCCTGTCAATACTGTTATATATTCATAAATACCTAAGATGGTTTAGCCATTCCTATTGGTCAACAGCCTGTCACATGGCCATTTTTAAACAGTTGATAAAGCACCAGTTGGCTGTGCGCTACCTCATACAGTACGCACTATGCCAATCTCCATATAAGGAGACTTTTTTACAATTGCTTGCCCCAAGAACATACCATAGAATGCCTAGACGGTGTTTAAGTAAAATTGTTGGGCAGAATTGTTGGAAATTTGTAAGTTTAAAACTTGTTTACACTTTCTGACTCAATAGTATTTATGAATGATAATATATATTTTCTTGGACAATGTTACTCTAATGTCTCAGACTGGCTCATGTCATGTCCATCCTCCTGAGCTGGTCTCAAATGTAGAGTCAAGCATATATTAATTTTGTTATTCAAAGAAAACTCCATCTCTTGCCCCTGCCACAGAATTTTAGCTGTTTAATATTGGGTCCTGAAAAACTAGAGTTTCAGAAAATGCAAGGACAAATTCAAAGATATACAGGCCATGAGGGTTGAAGTTATAAGGTCAAAAACCACAGAGATTACATTGCAACATACACGACTCTGGACCTCCCCCATAGGCAAGCCCTGACCCCTGCCAGATATTGCTGTTGACATCAAAGTCATAGCATATATTGCTGGGTGAAATTCTATCAGGTGGTAAACATGCTTTCTAGAGACTTTCAGGTGGCTTGGATTATATACTGAAACACTGTCAGACAGTGGAAATGCTTTCTAGAGATTTTTAGGCATAGATTATATGCTTCTACTTACCACATCCTTGCTCATCGCTTCCATCTTCACAGTCATTAAAGTAATCACACAACCAGAAAGATGGTATGCAGGAAACTCCTGAGGCACAGCGAAATTCATCAGGCGTGCATGTGACTTGAGCTACGGTAAACGAGACGAGTTCGATAGTGAACTCTGAAATCCAAAGCTTAGAAATATGATAATCAACACATTCCAGAATAATACCCTGAAACAGGCGGCACTTAGAAGTACTCTTACCTTTGACAGGTATCACCCCCCCCCCATGATAGAAACCCACTAGGTCAGTTTCACAGTCAGGAGGGCATGCTTTCAAGATGAAAAAAATCACTCATTGAGAATCACAGCAGGGGGCATGCAGACTGTTGTCTTTGGAGCAATCCGAACAGATGCTATTTTTCGACTACATTCACATCTCAATCATCTGTACTTTGTTACTCGTTTTTAAACTTTGAAATGATCTAAACTTTTCCCTTACTGGTCCAACTCCAAGGACATTTATTAGACATTTGTATTCATAAAGAATGGTTATGTGTAGACCTCTTCAATTTGTTGCTATTTGGATGCCTCCTTGTACAATGGTATGGGACCAACTACTGGTCACATACAATTACCTACATCTTTATGCTGCTAAGAATAGTCTAATAGTTCATTTGTGCACAGAGAAAAGTGTTGGGACTCTATCCAATTTTTCAAAATCCTGAAAAAAATTCCAATTTCTGGATTCAAGTTTGCAAACAACATATTCGAAACTGAAAGTACCAAACATCTGGACTGGCCCTTTTTCAGTTAAAAATTTGTTAACTTGTTAAAATTCAAAGGAAAGTTGTGGTTAGACGTCTGACATTTTTCATCTCATACTTTTTGCTGACCAAAAGCGGATGTGTTCGGGTCTTGCTTGAACAAAACAATTGAAGGATATGAATGGCATCTAAATACCAAGTACGTAACAGAATTCAGTCTGCATGTTCACAGAATACTTGATCAAATACATGTAGGTTTGAGCAAATCGTATCTCTTTTATTATTATTTTCACGAAAACGATTCTATCACCATGCAACCTACGGTTCACAATCAAAGACAAATACCAGGCTAGGCTGGTGGCATGTAGACAGTGCGTATAATACTTAAAATCTTCAGAATACTTTTGTTTCCTTCGTTGTTTTTTCTGATATTCATTCAGTGCCCTGTCAATACCATGTTGTAAATACCAAAACCCGATCCAACTAGCTTGGTTCTGTATCATTGTGTGCCATGTCTGATCAATTTAGTTCCATTCAATCAGCAATTCAGCTGCAGCACGTGCTACTGTTAATTGCACGGATAATAACTGGTGAGCTCATGCGCTTATTCATCTTCTATAAATCCTTTAATTTATGCAGGAAAATAAAATGAAAAATAACAATGGGATCAGAAATTATCGATAACTTCAGTCAAGATATGTTGTAGTTTCATAAACAAAAAGGCCCAATGCACATACATGTAGGGCCACTTCATGCTGTGTGATATGTAAGTTTTTTGTTGTATGCATGTGAGTGACTTCATTTGATCTTGGAAATGAGATTGGTAAATTGGACAACTGAAAGCCACTTTTTAAAAATTCAACCTATTGGGTTTTGAAATATTCAATTTCTCTGAACACTTACAGAGAGTTAATTTCCTTTGTCACTTTTTTATCCAGTATCAACAATTTGTCTGAACAGAGGGTACTGGTACAAAATCTGGCTGACCTGTTGAAGATGATGGGGTACTTCATACATTTGCCTTATCCCTTGATGTAACAACAATGGATTAAATTAAGGGATAATTAACTTGCTCAAAGTGAAATTTAGTTGGAGAGTCTGCAACCCATAAAAAAGAAATTTCTGGAAGGGCTATATTTGTTATCCCCCCCCCCAATTTACAAGGTCAGGGACTATAACCTCTTCCAGCGATTAATTGAGGGTCAACACACACTGCAGGAGGTCATCAGCTTGCCAGTGCTAGCTCCCTTACTGAGAAGTTCACTCTGGGTTCTGAATTCTAGGGGGTCTTTCATTTTTCCACCTGTTGCCAGGGTGAGCTGCTGAAGTCTCTGCAGCTCCTGAGTTGGCATGGTGCCCATAGCATCCACACACAATCCTGCCTAAATGGGCAGACTTCAGTTCGCATATTTAACTGATGTCAAGAACTTTTTGTAGCACCTCAAAAGAGGACTGAACTACAATGTACACCAACGTCTGATCGCAGCAGACCAGGTCATTCTGTTTCGTATACATGTACATGTACCAGAATGCCTGACCTCAAAATCAAACATATCAAGTTTACATAAATGTCTACATAAATGCCCAAAAAGTTCTTGAAAGGATTTGTTGAGCTCTCTCAGTGAAGAATCGTGATGCTGTCTTGTTTCTTGAGACCATCTGAAACTCGAGCATACGAGCAAGTAAAAGAGCATTTCTCAAACTTAGTTGCACAATATTCTTGACAGTTTTGTGCCAAGGATGCCAAGTCAGATTAAAGGTATGAAAACCCTACAACAGGGGAAAATCACATAGGAAAGTGTACAGGCAGTCATTCGAACAGTTATAAAATTCTTGGAACCCCAGGATTCCCATCCGATAAATACATTAACTTTGACGGTTTATTAGTGTTATAAAAAGCAATTTTCAGTGGCATTGTGTGTGCCTGTTTGTGCACACAAGTAAAATGTATATGTGGCCTGCACTGGAAGTCAAATCCCTCTCTGTGAGAAACTTTAGAATTTCCCCACAAACTCCATGACTGGAATATAAATGATAAAAAAATCAGTATAATGTAAAAAACAGACAATTTAACAAATTTCACTGGGAGATACATTGTGGATTTATACAACTCACAACTAAACCTAGAACATGGTCAGTTTAGAGCTCACTGTAAACTTCTGTTAAATTTTGTAAATTTGCGAGTCTTCGATTTATTTGATGGTACTATTGACACATCAGTTTGATGCTTGTCTGAGATGAAATTGACCTATCAACTTCAATCAATTTTAATGAATAGGTCATCCTACTTCGAAATGCCACTGGACTGGAATTCACAAGTTTTGTCTTTTAAATAGCCCTGAAATTTAAGCCACACTGATTTCTGACACCTCAGTGTGATCTGAGTTTGAATCCCCAGTCTGACACGTGGGTCAGGTTTCTAGATGTCTACTTGATTTTGAATAGAATCGCTGATGGGTTTTCCCACTTTGTACTCAACTCAATTTCTTCAAAAATGTCTCTCCATGGCTTGTTTCCAAGCTTCTCAGCTATAGTACTACTGGTTTTCTTTTAGCCTGGTAATCTAGGATTGCAAAACTGAATTAAAATCAAATGAAAATAAACAGGGAAAAGGAATTTGTCAAAAAAGAACCACCTGAGCCACTTTTTAAAAATAAGAATGCACAATGGCTATTAAAGTTTACAAGACATTTGTTTTTCCTCACAGTGTTTTCTTGTTCCAGAGGTCAGTGACCTATTGCTGAAGCCATTTACAGGGGATCAAACTTGAGACCAGTATACTTTGTTTACATATAGTTTAGCTTATGGATCCCACTGATTTCTGTCTGCATGTACCTGACTTTAACATTAAAACAGTTGTAGCCTCAGCCATGAAAAAAAAATCTCCCCCCTTAAAATACTGAACTTTCCAGTGATGTATGTAGAGATGCACAATTAAACATGCAGGACTACAACATCAGTAGGTAATATGACCAGTACATCTACAAGTACAGCACTGGAAAACTTATCTGTAAAGGGGTTTAGATTTTGAAACATAGCATACTTGTACCGGTATGATTTGACAGAAAATGAAATAAAGAAAATTTGAGAGCATTTTTGATATTTTCTAAACTAATCATTTTTTTACAGAGTCTTTTTACAGAAACCTAATGTCAAAGATGTCTTATAGTATTCTGAAAAGATAAATGGCCTTTTCAATCATGCTTTTATTTCTCAACAATTTGATCAAAAACAATACCTCTGGGAAGCAACATAAACAAGATAAATGCAAATAATTCTGCGTCGCCAGTGCAGATGCTATCAAGGAAACTGACTGTCAGTCATGCACGGCAATCAGCCTCAAACTGCCATTAATTAAGGCCCCTGTACCAATCAGTGTATCTATTATGGACACTATCCAGTTCATTACAGAAAAAAACACAAACTTACGGCAGTTGGACTCGTCTTCTCTATCTGGACAATCTTCAATGCCATCACACAACCATGACTGGGTAATACACATGCCCGAGGGGCACTGGTATTCAGTGGTGGAACAAGTGCCATAGTCTACACCCAGGCAGACGGGCATTAAAAAAAAGAAGGAAAGAAAACTCAGGTTCATAAACAACATGCAAAGATGAGGTTGCTATTTTTCCTTGACTGATACTGTTCAAATGACCTTTGCAAATCAGTATTTGCTGTGCTTGGCCGTAGATCAAAAGTGGACCCCTTTTCCATTCGCTTTTTCAAAAATCTAAATTTCTGGCCAAAAATAATACAGTCTGTAAGTGGTCAACTTTTGCTGCATTCACTCCTTTCCCAAATACTTGAATTTTTTCCACTCACCACAACCCAGCTCATCTGACCGATCATCGCAGTTAAAGACACCATTGCACCTCCAAGCCAATGAGATACACTGGCCTGAGTCGCACTGGTAGTGACCAGCTGGACATGCTGTTGGAAAGGAAAGTAGAAATACCATGAATAAAATGCAAAAGCTTTGGCTTCATAAATTTAGTACCAAGTAAAAGACCTCACAGGCTCACTGCTGCTCACTTTGAGGAATACTTATCTGGATTCAACAGTATTAAACAAGTTGAAACTGACACTGCACAGTTTCAGTCACAAATACAGAGACTGAAACTAAGCATTCCCCTGCCCCTAAAAAGTAGAGAATGTATAATGTATTGACAAAATAATGATGTGAGCATGAACTTGTCTGGGAAAGTCATGTGAAGCGCATGCCTTCATCATATTCATGCACCATGGCAACTTCATGTTCCCTGGCAGTGTTTCTAACTGGCTTGGGAACTGGGGATGTTAATGGATCTCTCTGAGAAATCTTTTGAGAAGAAAAGTCAAATGATTTGAAAAGTCAAATTTTCCTGACATTTTTTGTGCATCACTTTTAACCCATGTTTTGTGAAACACCTCTCTAGACTCTACCAGAATGGTACAGACATGTACATGTATAGTGCCTCATTGGAGTACTACAATGTCCTTATATGGATATTAGCGCCCATGCCAATGAGGCGCTATGTGATGCAGAATGAAGCCAAGTGAAACTTCGACTCCACAATATACATTGTACCTGTAGACTCATTGGTCGACCATGCTACATGTACATGTACATGACAATAATTACGTATGAGGTTTACAGTCAACATTTCATACATGTAAATCAGGAAAGAGTTAAACCAGTTGGTTGGTTCCTTTATCATCTGTGACAAGCTTTCTACCAAAAAGAATGGGACACTAAGATACAAGTATTAGAATATTTAACTTAGATATTTGAATATTTCACATCACAAAGTCAAATATGTGAACAGCTGTCAAATGTAAAATAAAAAAATTGCATTCTAATGAGGGTTCCTGTTGGACATCAAATGGTGACATGGCTTGTGGAGATGTTACTTACTAATCAGCACAAATGGTAACAATAATACAGATTAGTCTATAATAAAGCTCCAAGTGATTTATTGGGTTATGAAAGCTCCACTCCTCCCATGAGGAAACAATGGTAATGCATACATGAAGTACATGTACCTCTGGTGAGGCTAAAATGCAGGGCTGGTGTAGTTTGAAGGGCATGATGAGGAGCTCAAATTCAAGTCGCATATTTAAAACCTGCTTACACGAAACCCAGGAGAAGGTACATGTTCATATATATGTACTGAGCTAGGATCGTGTAGTACATTGGACTTGGCTTGCTCTGGTCATCTTTATCAGGTAAACTGACATACACTGGTGGTATAGAAGGGGACCAAGTGTCCCCCTTTTTGACTGAGGGTTGACAGGTCCTTCTAAAGGGCAGGGCTTAGTGGAATCAAAAGAAGGTTCAGCAACTGCAGTAAGGAGGTCATTTTGAATTTGAAATTGTATAAATCTCCAGTTAAATCATCTGGATTATGCAATCATACATGTACATGTATGCATAAAGATATACCCTGGAAGAAGTGCAGAGTAGGGCAACAAAGCTTCAAATTTATCCTAAGTCTACAGGACTTGTCTTATGAGAGATTAAACAAACTGCACCTAACTACACTAGAGCCAAGAAGAAAAAGGGAGATCTCATTCAAATTTATAGGCTTATGCATCAAATACTGCAGACATGATTAGTCCAGAGAGCTGACTACCGGGACCAGAGGTCATTCGCAGATTAAACTACATGTAGCCAAATTCAGATCAAGACTTGATGTCAGAGAGCATTTCCATAGCCAAAAGCAAAGTGGCAATAGAAAAAAACTGTAACAGGTATGAGGTGAACTACATGTAATAAGAACTCGGTGTATTTTCCTTATTTTAACCATTACAGACAGAACAGGGTCCCTGTCCCCACAAAAGTTGCAAATGGAGGTAATATACCAGTTTTAAAACGGGATGGTTCAGCTTTGAAGAAACTTTCTTAGAAACTGCTGTTTGACTGCTTTTTATAGAACAGGTCAAAATCTTAAAGAGGGGCTGGTTACTTTTCTCCAAAGAGAATGCAAATTTTCAGAAACAGACATTATAAAAACTGCGAAGCTCAATACCAATTCTCAAGTAATGCCAGCAAAGCACTATGTAGAAAAGCTAAATATCAGGGCTCCAGTAACAAACATGCATATACCACCAAAAACCCTTTCCACTATCCTTCAAAACAAGAGAGAGAAAAAGGCAAATTAGTCTTTCATTCAACAAAAAACCTATGAAAAAAGAAACTTGGCATTTTGCAAGTTTAAAAGCAAGACTTCAGAATACTAGGGTGGTTTTATGGGGCATGGTAGGTATGACCATGGAGGAAGGACATAGAAAGAGTTGCAACTCAGGCACTTCAAAGTGTTCAATGATGGACACCACCGAGTCAGACGAATAATACAAAACATTAAAAAAATGCCTGATTACTGCCAGCATCTTAGCCGGACAAGCGGGCCCTGTAATATCCTAGCAATACTTGTAGTTTCTTCCTAACAATTGAATACAAATTATCGATGTGACCAGGAAATACAGAGAGAAAAATTTCTGAAATCTGACCTACTTTTGCCATCATAAATAAACTTTTAAAATTTTGATACACTGTTCCTTTATCCATGCAAGGTTTGTAATTTTATTCTCCTCCGTCGAATACATCAGCGTTCAAAGACTTGGTACGAAGTTGGCTAAGACTGGCCGACAAAATGTTCACTACTACTGGAAAGCTTAGTTCATTGGGAACAAAATGTGCTATTTCATCACAGGGAGTGATTGTGAAATCTCATAAAATACGCTTTTGTACAAATGCCATCATAAAAATGATTCAAAGAAAACACAAAATCTTGTAAACAACTGGGCTATTTATTCCCAAAATAACTCCAGACGAAAGAGTGCATTAAGGGCAATGACTGCAAATATAGATTTAGGGCACACAGCGCAATGCAAGCAACTGAACAAGCATTAAATTTGATGTTGTCATGAGAACATACCAAACACCAACAAAGGCATGAAAAGTCAATTTCCTATGCCTCAGTACACAAAGTTTTAAGGATGCAGATTACCATCGACAAATTGCGGCAGCAATCATAGGGTAAAAAAGGGTTTCGTGGTTGTGAAATAGATGGTGCATAGCAGGCGTTCGCTGCACTCTGGCTATGGACATACATGTACCAGGCATGCCAGAAAGCAGTAATTGGCCAGATGTTACAGCCCAGGCAGTTCAAACATCTTCTGTGTCCTCCCTCTATGGTTTAACATATTGTCAGAAAAAAAAAATTGTTGAGCAACCAACAATATTTTGTTGAGGGAACCACAGAGTTTGTTAAGGGAACAACAAATTTTATTCTATGAATGTTGAAAATGAAACAACATGGGGCTGAGTCAATTCGAATAATTCACTATTTGAATATTCAACCTTCAATTTGATCGAATACCCGAATATTCGGTCGTACAGACCGGCAGATTGTTGAACAAACCATACACAAAATCAGTTGGAATAACAAACACAATTGTACATTATGATCAATATAATAGCTTCTCACATCTAGAAGTATCTCGAGCCACAATTTAGCAAGATTTAAGAGATGAACAATACTTCTTCTTGTTAAAAATTTTTTATTCCTTTTAAATTGTTTATTGAGTAACTTACTTTTTAAATTGTTGTAAGATTTCTGACACTTTTCATTTGAATCTGCATGAAACAAGCTTCCATAGTGCAATTTTTCTCATTTAAAACAAAAGAAACATTTTCCCTTCCTTTTCATGAATTTTGCATTCGAATATTCACATTAAAAAAATAAATAATATTCGAATATTCTATAATCGATCGAATATTCAGTTATTTGGCACAGCCCTAAAACAACACTACCGCAGTTAACACAGTGAAACAATAGACAGTTGTCTTGATGGTGGGAGGGGAAGCTCTCAACAACAAGCATGAAGACTCCCCCATGCAGGCATGCTTTAAGGAACAGCAACAGCAACATATGTGTAGTAAAGCACAGGAATCGCTGTCGTTCCCGTAACAAAATTTGGTTATTGCCTGAACAAACTTTGCTTGTTATTCCCTCAACAAAATTTGTTTCTTGTTCCATCAACAAAAGTGGCTGTTCCCTCAATAAAATTTGTTGTTCCCTCAATAAAATTTGTTGTTCCCCTAACAAAATTTGTTGTTCCCGAAACAAAATGTTGTTGTGGGCTCAACAAACTTTGTTGTTCCCTCAATAAACTTTACTGTTCCCTCAACCAATTGTCCCTGAACAAAATTTGTTTGCCGACAACACTTCTTTCCATCCATGTAACTTTAAAACAACCACAGAATTCTGTGTAATACATGAAAATGGGATCCTGGAAAATGCAATGTTGCCTAGGGGGTGTTTGTTGTACAAAAAAATGATGAACAACCCCTTTCATGACCAATGTAGGAAGATGCCATGCTGTACCAGGGTGTGATTTCCACCGGGAGAAAACGAAAGTGCATCCATGGTAACACATACAGGTATGTTCACAAATCATACCTGTCAGCACAGCAAGTGGGTGTTTAGGCCCCAGTTTAAAGTAGAGCTGAGGGACATTCAATCCAAAAAAATGGGGAAATGAACAAAACAAACCAGACAAGTCTGTTTCTTTGTTCAATGGGATTGGGCATGGCAACTTGGTAAAGAGATGTATGATACAGCAATACATGTACACATTCATAAAATCTAGTTCACATACATAATTTTAAGCAATGGTACTACATGATGTACACGTAGTTTGACTGGGAGTGGCTACTGTGCAGGGTCTCAATATGAAAGAATAGTGGGAGTAGATTAAAGACCATTTCATAAAGAGACTACCCAGAAACAGTACTTCAAAGAGCCATGAGGAACTGTGTGTGCAGTTATTTCTCAAGAGTGCACCACTGTGTATTCACTGATCTCCATAATGTCCACAGTAAAATCTGATGTATGAATAAATGATGTATGAATCCTTCTGTATCATATAATTCAAAGTCTGTATTCCACTTTTTTCACTGAATGTGTGTTTCTGACTGATTCCAAACGATCCTATGGGCCTTTAACACGTTTGAAGTGGTGGCTTAACTTGCACATGATGTTTGTATACAGGCACATGTGATGCATGTATAGAATAGCTTTTACCTTCAGCCATTTCTAAGAAACGGAAACGGAGAAATGATTGTTTATTCCACACAAATTTCATCAAAATGATGGGTGTCTGGCTCGGGTGAAAAGTAAAAAAAATCTGTCAGACACAAGTGATATAGCAAGTTCCTCTAAAAACAGGAAAAGAGTGAGTGGCACAGACACATTATTTTCAACATATGGAATACAAAATACAAGTGTACAGGTGTACGGCCCCCACATACCCCTTATTGCTAGGCTAGGAATGCACGAAGGGTCAAATCTCAAAGGATAGAGCCCAATACTGTGTGCACCCCATCCAATACATGTACTGTACATGTACATGTAAGTACATACAGGTGTTTAAATACTTTACCCCGCCTGGGGCTGCATGTCCCACATCAAGCCTTTACACCCCTGACATCCACCTTACAGCTTATTTATACAGGCCGAATAGGCCTCTGATCATCAGAAAGTCGACATCAGCTTGCAATGCCTTGACTCTTTCTTTTTGCTCAATCTTGTGAATGTGCAGAGTTACAATGAAAATTCAGGACTGGTTGGCACACAGAAATCCTGTCTTTGCTTTTCACCTGTGTGTCAAGTTCAAATCCCAACACATGGATTACGTTTTACAGCCCGATTCTAGGCTTTCCAATGACGACTTCATGGGAGGTTGTTTCCTGTGGGTCTGCACCATCTAAATATTCAAGGTCTTGATAATCGTTAATGTTTCTTGTTTGCTTAGACAAGGCAGGGTGGCATGAGCCATTTCTACAAACTTTTGGTTGCATTATAGGCCTACAGATAGCTATATCTACATGTAAACCTGTAGGCTTACATGTAGTTACCACAAGCCCCGTGCTCTCTTAATTAAGGCAAAAGAGCAAAAATCACTCTGAACAGAGTGAAGACCAATCCAAAAGAGTGAAAATTATTCAAAAAGAAGATCCATAACAGAGACAACCCTATTTACAGTTTCCCTTGTATGGTTCCTTGAAAGAATGGAAATGTCACTTTTGTGGAGTGCTTTTCACTCTTTTGGAGAGGCTTTTATGAGGGTTTCACTCTTTTTGAGAGTGAGTTGAGCACTGTAGCATTTCGAGAGTGGTCTCTGAACATTTGAAAGCCTACACATTATGCACAACTTTAATAGTTTGGTTTTGCCCTTCACCAGTGTGATTTGAAAAGCACTTGCTTGCTCATTGACTTCCAAAAAAATTCACAACCTTGATCCATCGGGTGAGACCCATGACCCTCTGCTTACTGGTCCTGGTGCCTTGATTACTCAGCCACCAAGTTTGTCTTGGTTTGATGGCCACCTCAAATCTACATGTAATATGGCACTGGATACTGCAATCCAAAACCGCAGATGGAAATCTATACTGCCAGGGGGGTTGAGTATTTGAGTAATTTGTTTCTCCCTCCACCAACTGAGGCAAAAGGCAAAAATCATCAATACCAAATTCAATATCCCTGACACAGTATTCCATCAACAATTCAAGAAAAAAATAGTGCCCGACTACGATTGGACAAGTCTACTGAATTTATCTTTAAAGGATCCCAGAAAGATCATGACATTTGAGTGGGATACTTGCTTATTTTTATCAAGGTCATGTCCATTGGGCTAATGACTTTGTAGAAAGTAAATGTGAGCAAAGTGATCCAGCCATAAAATACGGTAGGAGGAGTGAGATTAACTGCTTGCCTTAAATTTTTGTCATATTTATTATTATTGTTTTTTAATTTATGACTTTTTTCTTGTTACCTAAGAGCAGTTGTATAACAACTGAATAGCCTTCAGATCAAAAGAAATAACAGGAGTACCTTGGATCGCTGGTAGATAGCTATGTGGTTTCTCAATTGAAAAGACATACATGAGGCCTTGATAGCTGTATGTAATTTAGATTGTTATCAAGTTTTACTTTGCAAAAATAATGCTATATAGTGTGAAGTCAAGTTCCTTTTATTAAGCTACAAGAACAAAACATTAACTATTTGTAAGAACTTGTGACAAGCCAACAGTAAATCTGAACTTCTGTTTTCTTTTATGGAGACTTGTGTTTTTGCTTTTTTGGTTCATGTTTCCTGTCATATGCAGTATTTTCTCTAGTAACAACTGCCAGAGAAGATTCTCCAGAGCTAAATGCCCTCCAAGATTTTCTGGAACATAAAGGAACAGTTTGAATAAATCATTGCTGAGCTTCAGAATTTCAATAATTTCATCAACAGCTTTAATACAGTTCAAAATGTGGCCTTTATATAACCTCTCCAAAAAATATGATGCTTCAATCATGGAGAATGCAGAGGTTAAAGACCTCAGGCAGTTTGTATAGGTCAGGGTCATTTAACTGCTTCACCAGTGAGTCCTCCTACTTCACTGCATTACATCCCAAAGTTTTTAAACAGTTTAAAACTTGAGGGTAGGCCTATAAGAAATGTAACTTGCTGGAAGTTACAAAATGAAAGCTGCTTGGAAAAACGTGATTCCCATGAGACAGTTTAATCGGTGGCATCCAATGAATAAATGCCTTTAACATGTGAAGAAAATCTGGCACTTAAAAAGTTTTCACTATCGATCAAGTTTTTCCCTGGAATAATACTTAGTGGTCTCAGGTCTCACTTCAAACAAGCAGCTTGAGGATATCTAGCTATGTGAACAAGGCCAACATTTAATTTAACAGAAAGCCATATCTCACCACGTTCACTAAAACAAAATATTCAAAATCCTCAGCAAACCTTTGAGAACCAGCACAACAGCTAGCAATCAGTTTCTGACTACATAAAATAACATTTTGTCTTCAGCTCCCGAGGAAACTCTCCCAAACTGCAGTAATAACTGCACAAGTTGTTGTACATAGTCTACTGAGTTATTTTCAACTGCAACTGGACTCATATACCCCCAAACCCCAGCCTGTAAGTGAATTTTGAACAAAAAAGTCTCCAAGGTCTCTGAGCTCCCTGACTTGGTTGAGGCTTATAAAACGATAACAAATTTGGCCTTACAACTGTTCTGGTTCTAGAGAGGAGACCACAACTACATACCCTGCATAAGGGTCAAATGGGTCATTCAACTCCAGAGAAAATGGTCCAGAATTTTAAAGTAGTGAGGTTGTGGAGATGTGCAAGCTTGATCACTGTTTGTGTTTTAGTGTTTAGTTGGAGTGTTGGCCTTTATATCCAAAGATGTGTGGTGCCTAAGGTGTTACACTGTCTTAAGTTGCTGCCAATGAAATTTGGGAAAACCCAGCAATTTTTTTAATGCTGTTTGATGCTCATATCAAAGACCAAGTAAACAAAACAAATTGTTATCCAGGTTTTGAGACATGTCAGGAAAAAAATGGAGGTTACAGCTGGTATTAATTTATTCCTTTTTTTAATGAGAGCAGGTTTTTGCCAAGATGGCAAGTGATTTGTCCGTGTTCTTGTCTGTTTCTGTTTGTTGCTAATACTAAAGGAAAAAGCTTTCACTTATCTAACTTCCAAAATTAATGTAAAATTCCAATGATGCTGGAAACTGCTTTCGGAAAAGTGACCTAAACTATACTGTACTAAAAAACAAAGTAAGGGCTTGACATTTTGATCCCAACATAATCTTTTTAAAGGCAAAAATGACTTGAGAAAAATTCTACTAGGACCAAAAGTCACATCCTATAACTTTCTAACAATACAGGAAAAATATCATGCCTGTCTAAATGTTGTTAGAAACTTAGAAACAAATGAAAAGTTAAATCAATGGGAATAAGTAGAATACTTGTTAAAATAGTAAACAGTACAAGTGAAATAGCAAAAGGTACTAAAAATATTTGTTTGAAAACAATTTAAAACAATACATTGAAAATTTCTAAAAACTTGAAAAACTCTACCAAAAAAGAAGGCAGCGAATTTTTGTGCTGCTCGGTTTTTTTTAACTTCTTACTAGATCCAAAATTACCTGCATAACTTTGTTGGGTTGAGCATGGTTAGGGTTAAGGAGTCATTTTGGGGAGAGTGTTTCTAGAAATTGAGAAATTATTCTCACTTTGGTAGTTAAAGGCTAACAAATTTTGGGAAGTCTATAAAGGTTGCTTATCAATTCAGCCTAACAACTATCGCGAAATTCTGTGTAGCCTAGTTGGCCTTAGCTCAGAGTTTTTAAAGAATCTGATAAACATCACAAAGCAGTATTTCAACTTAAAACTAATAAGGCGGACATACCTCTTTGACTCACTCCTGTGACAGCTAAAATCAGGATTGCAAGTAGGGCGGAGTAACCGCGAAGCATTCTCGTGCAGTTTTTTCTACCAGGCACATTAACTGGCCGAGCACAACTTGAATTGGCGTCGTGTGCGACAATCTGCACGGCGCCTGTTACCACCTGAAGTCGACAGTCGCAACTTTTCAGCTGACTTCTCTCTCTCTAAAAAAAACAAGCAACAAGTGTTTAAGCGCTGCAGTACAAGACAAGCCTCCTGCGTATCCTGGAATTCCTCTCAGAGCTCGAATTACACTTTACAGTGACAAAGAAGGTATTCTACGTGGACTCCGTTGATTCCACCATTCATTATGCGGGATAAACTTGGAGCCTTCGAGTCAATTTCGACCTAAAGCCGAACAGACGACAGCATACTTGGATGAATCCGCGCACCTGATTACGTTGGCAACTGTGCCCTTTTCCCCAAAAGTTGCCTCAACCGTGACGAGGTAGACTTCAAACCAACTCGGCAATTGGCCGGGTGTAGCCCACTTTCCTCGCGACGTGAGTAGCGGCGGCGCGGTTCAGTGTGCAGTTTAATAACACGCGGGAACAGCCAGCGCAACCTCACTCCCAAATGTGCGTGTCCGGCGCGGTCAACAATTACCGACGTCTCTGGAAAACAATCTGGAAGCCCTTTGTGCACAACATATGGGGCTTACTACCAAAATTGGACGGAGCACCCTGATTGGCCAAGAATCCCGATGAAATGAATATTTATTTTAGGGGCAGTTCGATTGGTCAGTTGAACGTTTATTAGCAACAACCACAGTCTCATTTATTGAGGAGGGTACTTGTATTATTCTAAAAAGATGATTTATCATAAAACCTTCGATTCTTTTGCCAAAAGAGATAATAACAAGATTTATTTTTACAGATTTATGTAACGTTTGTCTTTAAGAGTCGTATTAAAAGGGCTATCAATGCAAGATGAAAAAAACTGGCACTAATCAAATATAGACATCCCTACATATAACATGGATGAATCTACTATGTAGCGTGAGCTACTATTGGCGATCTCCATGGAAACACATGAATGTGCAGTGCAATTTATTGCTGCATACGTGATATCCTTCCAGAATCAGGTTGATCAAGTAATGAGGCGGCTCGGCGGGCACAGTTGGGTCGTGGGCTGGCCAACGTAAGTGGAATATGGAGCACGAAAAGTGGCCATCTGATTTTCTGCTATCAGAGTAGCCTTAGCAGATTTATGTTCTGGTAACATGCAATTTCGACTTAGCTACTTTTCTGCCACCTCAAAAAGCAGAAGGAACATTGTGTGGTTATGCATTTTTCTATTTTTCTGCTTAAACAAAAGCAGATTTTACTTTTTTTGTTCGCTGACGGCCGAAAAGCGGTCATCTTCTTTTCTCCTTTCGAACAGGCAGAAATGAGGATCGAACGTTTGACAACAACCGTGAATTCTACTTTTTTGTGTTTTTATTTTGTTTATTTATACCGGAGGAGCAATTTTACACAGGCGGCTGAAAAGTGGCCATCTGCTTTTCTGCCTTCCAAGGGTCGTGAACGGGGTCGTGAACCTCAGGTTATGACCATTTCCTTTTTTGGGGATTGAAGACGTCTAAACCAATAACTACAGTCCACCCTATCTTTTTGTAACGAAAGATTCACATTTTTTTCCTTGGACCAAGCAAGCTTGTGAGTGTGTCTTTAGCTGTAAAACTGTATTTCCTTTAGATGCTGTTTTCTCTGCCTCACAGGGATACTGATACTGCCGTATGGGATTGGTCCGCAGATAGCGTGGTCAAGCATTGGTCTCTATATGTCTCCCCCCCCGAACGGAAACGGTGGTAACCTAGAGGTTCGTGACCCCATTCACGGCAGATGGCCACTTTTTGGCCACCTATGTAAAATCTGCTTCTCCGTTATCACAAAATCAGAACAGTTGAATTCACGGTTGTCGTCAAAACGTTCAATCCTCATTTCTGCATGTTCAAAAGGAGAAAAACCGGATGGCCACTTTTCGGCCGCCACTAAGAGGAAAGTAAAACTACTTTTGTACTACAGTAGCAGAAAAGTGGGAAAATGCATTACAATAAAATGGTCATTCTGGTTTTAAGATAGCAGAAAAGTAAAAAATTGTATGTTACAAAGACGTAACATCAGCTTTTCTACTTTTCTGATAGCAGAAAAGCAAAAGACCACTTTTCGTCAGCCATTGTGGAAGCCCGTTACTGGGTACAGTCCATTAATACAAGCCCCATTGAAAACAGTGTAAAATCCGCACCGTTAAGGGCCCAATAACATGCACGCCAACATCCCTGAGATTTCTGAAACACAAATAAAATTCTTGTCTGGTCACTAATCTTTCAATTTCTTTTCAATTTTTGTGAGTTAACCAAGTACATTTTCAATTATTCCCACAAAACAAAATCACTCCCCAAAAAGTGATTTTTCCGAAGTCTGATTGTAGCCATTTTTCAAGTGGCATCCCTCAACATTTTCGGGCACTTAGGACCATTTTTCAACCGTAGTATTTAGCCCTTCTGCTCTCATATGAAAGCTCAAAGACTCAGGGTGTTGATCCTGGCAACGATTTACACAATCTCACCATTTTGGGGGGCCAATCTTCTTGTTCAAAAGATACTGAGGGGGGGGCACTTTTAATGCTAATGAGCTGGCCAGAAATTCTCACTTGAATTAGTGGTCTGCACCCTACTGAACAGCCCCCAACCACGCGTCGTACATTTTACCAAATCATTGTGGTACATGCACGCAGGCAACGATGAACGGGCTCCACACGAACTGTAAAACGACGCATGGACGACAAACCAGACCACTAACGACTTGATTTCAAGTCTATGTGCGAGGGCGCTATTTCAACTTAACGTTGGCCAAAAAGAGCAATCTGCCGCCCGAACAGCTTTTCATGACATTACGCCCTCACCAGATTTATAAGCCACCTGACACTAAAATTTGCGAATAGAACACTAGATTCCGCAACACAAAATCCTAATTAGGAAAGATATCATCGTCCCTGGCTGTGAGCGAAGGCCATTCCATAAGAAAACCGAGATTCGAGAACCCCCCCCCGTCCTATCCAGCTAGCTCCCATCAGAATCAGCCACGTGTGCAGCGCCCTCTGTTTTTCATTAGTTATTAACATAATTAATTTGCTGAACTGAAAGGCTTCTGCATGGTAACGGATCATCTCGTTTCTCAGATTTACATTCAACGAGGCGTACATCATGGGAGACGACATGGAAAGGGTATGGAGGAATTTCTGAGTTTAGTAAGGAAATGACTGGAGGAAAAACACAGATGTGATTAGTTCTCAGGTTTTTTAAATGAGTACAGGTGGTTCTATTTGCAAATCAGTCCGTGTACACGTATCAGTGGACAACGGGGCTACGTGTGCAAATAATTACGGAGCACCGGTCCCGTGTGGTGTCATAATGATACCTTGCATAAACTTTAGAGCAGCCTTGCCTTTGCGGTGATGCACATTACTTTCCAAGTTATCAATTCTGCTTAATCGCTATACGTCTGCTAGCTTGGGTACCACGTATCAGAATAAACAATGCATGCACTACCCCCAGTGGGGCGGACGTCGGACCCCCGGCCCCCAGTTCTGGGGGAACATCATGTACATGTTGACTGCTGTTTCCATTCAAGTGGCATTGAATTTTAAATATATGTAACCGTGGAGGAAGGTTTTCCTCCCTCCATGATGTAATGTCCATGATGGGTATACAGTAGTTGCTAGGTCCCTAATTTCACCACCTATTGTCAAGTCTTATCGGTTTTCACAGTAAGTGGTGAAATAAGGGACCTGGCGACAATACCGTCATGGATGTAATCAGTTGTGTGGCCACAAGTCAACTTCTTTTACAACAATATTTTTCAATTTTTTTAACCACGAGTTGCTGCTTTCACTAGTACTATTTGAGTTCAGTAGTCAAGTGGTTCTTAACAAGGATATAATACAACTGAATAGCATTGCTGATGAGCCAGCCTTAACCCTAACCATGTTGAACCCAACAAGGATATGCAGGATTTCAATGGTCCCGACGGGGTTAGGGTTAATTTAAATTATGGGAAAATATGGCAAAATTATTTCCTGACTGACTTGGGCACTGTTATGCACATCATGGTTTTTGTCACAGGATCCACAGGAGAGTTTTAATAACAAAACTCAATGCATGAATATGCATAAATTTGAATGCAGTGTTGATCTCTGGTGGCATGATCATGTCATGCATTCATGCCCTAGCCAATGCCATCCTGATAACCCAGCTACAAGCATACACTGTAGATTGCTAGTGGATCCAGGGAAGGGGGTCAATGGGGGCCACATCCCCCAAAACAAAATATTTTTAGCAGTATTAGAAAGAGGCACTGGCAGTGGAATCAGGGGGCTGGGGGAGGGGCATTGTCTGCCTCTCTCTGCCCTCCCCAACTTTTTGAACTTGGGAGGTAATGGCCCTCCCACTTTCGGCAGGTCCTTTAATGTGCATGATGGTCTCACCAAGGTCCCCCCCCCCACCACCACTTTGAAAAGTGTTCCACTGCCGTTGCAAAGGGGTGATTTTAGGGGCATCATTTCCTTCTACTTCTTTCCTAAAGGTGAGTAAAATGCCCCAAAATTCAGCCGCACCTCTTGGAAAGACCATAAAAGGTTTCATATACATGTACAGTGTCAAATTTCTGAATTTTTGGTGTTCCCCCTCCCGAGAAAAAATTATTTAGATTGCATGTGTGGTGAAGAGTTCAGTGATCATCTGAAGTTATCTGAAATTATTACACATTTTGAAACTCACACAGAAGGCATAATGCATACGTAATTTTGTCCTAAGTACAATGCTCAGAATTGTATTTTTGGAGTACAGTCACTTGAAAGATAATTGTAGCTGTGGAAGTCCATATGGTTAAATAGCAAAATTGGCTCTTTGCCAGGTAATTAAAAATTCAGCAGTATTCCTCCATCCTCCCTTAAATAAACATCTAGCAGATTGCCAACCAGCAATAACAACTAAAAATAAATTTAAAAAATGTTCTGTTTTTCCAAACTCAACAATTCATCTTTTCACAGACCTTTTACATTCCCCACGAGAGACTCTTGGAAAAACACGCAACCATTCCCGAGGACGTTAAACGAAAGCGGGTATGTTGTTCCAGCGGTAATTTTGTTTTGTTTTTGTCTCTGTTGTAGCAAAGGAAAGACATAGTATGATCTGACTTCATGTTCTAAATAAAATTATTCCAGGGTTCACCAAGCCTTGAATTTAAGATGTTTGGCTTTTAAATGAGGCCAATATTCATGTATATTAATAGGAACAGGTCATGCTCAGATTCACTTTTTACGGTTAGTTTTTCTTACGACATAAGACATCAACAAAACTCCTGACTGCCTGACCAGTTGTGACTGCCTCATGGCCAGCAGATGGTCTTTTGGTCCTTATTTTATCAGCTCTTGTGCTATGTACATATCAGCAATTAGGCTGAAGTCTTAGCCCTGATGAGCCCTCCACAGATCTATCAGTACATATATTAACACGACTGATTCCCTTCCTAACAGTTTGAAGCGATATGCAAGGCAATCACAAGGGAGTCTGGCAATGCCGTCAATGTGCAATATGAAATCCAGGACAACAGGACAATCCGCTTCACTATACAGGGCACCATGGACCAGATTGGGATTGCAATAGGCCTCCTAGAGCGACACCTCACAAAGGTTTGTTGATACAGTTGTACCTTGGGCAGGTAGTAGTGTATCACACACATTTGGGACTGATTTTACACCACTGCTAAATCAGGAGATTTTGTGTGGCAAAACCGTATGCAAAGTACCAGTCAGAGTGAGATCTTGGCTTATGACACAACAGTATTTCCTGTGCTCAGCTCATTTCTGTGCTGCAGCTCAGATTGTCTCTGTTTGCAGTGTTAAAAAGGAAACACTAAAGCAGTGGGACAAATTTCAAGGAGGTTATTCGTATTTCAACTCAAGAATTCAATAACCAGAATTATGCTTGGAGTCTTTTACAAGTATTAAGTGCAAACACATTCAGATGTAATATGCTGTCACTGTCAAATGCAGTTATTGGTACATTTTGCAAGTGCACTTCATTATTTCTTGCCATTTTCTCACGTGTTACCAGTTACCTCCAAACACCTTGCGCACAAATTCTCTTGATCGACTGTGGGGGTGTCACCAAGTGACAATGTGATCATGGCATATATTTTTAGTGCACAGCAATACTTGGGATCATGCAGGTGACTTTTCAATCAATTTTGAACCGATATGGAAGTGCCCGTGCAATCTCAGAAACTGCACCGAATCAGTGGTGATGCATTGTTGAAGAAATGCCAACTGCTTGAATACTTGGAACAGTACAACTAGCATCCCTATGCTTGTCACTGGTCTGCCGTCTGGCAAGCAGATGATTTCTTGAAAAGTTGCCATGTTCAATAGTTGCACATTCAACAATACACTCACATGAAAGAGTGAATAACAGACATTAGCAGTGTGTACATTTCAAAGGACTGTTGTCACACAATGCAAACCTTTGTGGTGGCATGTATCTTGGCAACAGAATTGGGGTTGATTTATACACTGCAGGAGTTTGAAAGCTTTGGTTTTCAAAAAAAATGATGTCAAGTCAGTCAAATGCGAGTTATAATTTCCAGATTTGGGTTTTATCGGCAGAAATGTTAGGTACATTTGTTTACTTCCAAGTCCTGACAGCAGATAGAAACACATAAAATCCAACCATTGTGCTGGTTCCTTTAACCCTAACCTTACCCTGCTGCATTCCAGAGCTCTCTCACCCATGCACTTCAATTTGTCCAAAGTTGGTTTGCGTCTGTTGTTGGAGGTGAACTCTGCAGGTCCCATGAATGGAAATCCGGGGTCCCCTTTTGTTGCCCAAAGTGAGCAACGCCCAGTGGTGCTGTGGAAAACCATCTTTTGATGATTGCCCATGTGTGAAGCATGTAGATGTGCATCTACTCCTGTTGTATAGATTGTATATGATGGGATATAACACAAATTGAAGCCAGTTCTGCTGCAAGACCTAAGAGAATAGAAAATAAAATACATTCTTCCAGTACATTCATAAATTTCTCCAGGTGGAGCAAAGTAAAAGTTATTCAGTCTAAAAAATCACTTTTCCCGATGTTGGGGCTGACATTTACAAAGGATTAAACTACATGTATGCAGTTTGGTATTCTTTCCACAAATGGTAAATAAACAGAAACTGCTGAACTTTAAGATTATCCGGTGCTCATAATTCATCAGCTTATAGCATAATATAAAATATGTATTCTACACAATTTTTTTTAAATTTTAAAGCTTTTTAAAAACTGATTTGTGCTCATTGTTTGTGGGTCTGGTTGGCTTTCCTTGGATAGTGGTAAACTTATTTCAGTGGGCCATAAGTTTTGTGAGAGTTTTAGAGAAACTTCAGTTTGTCATGATTATCATGGTATTAGATTCTCACAAAGAATTTGTGAACAAATCTAAGCTGATAATGATAGTCATGCTCAGTCATAAATTTCACAATTGGTTACCTGCATATTCACACCAGGTCAAGTTTAGTACTGGTATTCACTGGACTCTTCAGGTGTTTTTGCTAGTAGCCTTCAGAAACTTGATTAACCCTAACCCATTGGGCCCTTTTTGCTAGCGACCCTCCTCAGTCCTCCAAAATTCTCCAAAGGGGGGGGGGTTAAAAAAATTGGATTCTCCCTTCAATCCTCCCAAATTTCTTGAAAGTGTTACCTGGAGGTGTGCCTACTGCCTCAATCCTTCAAAATGCTCCAGCAATTCCTGTCATTATGTTGAGGCAGTGCCAATGGCATTCTTGAGCAGTGCGGTTGATTTAAAATAAATATCGGGCTGAATTTATCATGACTAAGCAAAAACACAAAGGTCTAACCCACGACCTTCATGTGTGGCATCCTTCGCAATCAGCCATGCACTTTTGCCAAAAGCACCCGAAGGATTTTGGAGGTTGAGGAGGGATAGGATTAAGAGCTTTTGTTGTGGCAAAAACCAACGACACACTCTACATGTAGGTGTGTGTGCTTTAAAGAGGCGTCGTGTCCCATATTATGTAACAGTGGGTGGACTTACACTCCTCTCCTCAGTCTTGCAAAATCTTTCAAAAACTTCTTGCTGGGGTACCGAGTTCTCACAGAGGCAGCAAATCAAGAAATACAAATGTTGTAACAGGCCCTACATAAAACTTACAAGCTTTGGCCATCTTTTATATAGGAACGCTGCCAGGACCGCAGAGCCTTACCCCAAAATGTCGCTCCATTGACAGTCGATAACTTACGCCAACACAACCACACCATGATGGAACAGAGAGAATTTGCCTGTCAAGCCTGTCAGAATGTCTGGTGGAGGAAGGTCTTCAGTTACAAGCCTGTCTCCAGGTATGACTTTGTCCAAAAAAAAAGTTGTTTTAAAACACTTCGTACCAAAGGACTTACAAACACAGTCTGGCATATGCTTTGTGCAAAATAAAAATTCAGGGCAAGGGAAATGTCAACCTTTTTTGGGGGGGTGTTTTGCCATAAACACTGCATACTCCGTATTGTCCAAGAGCTTGTGAAAAAAACACTAGCATACCTGGGTGGGACTCATGACTTCCTACTCACGAGTCTTGCAACCTGACCTCCATGCTCACAGGTGTTTGCTGGCTACTTCAAGCCAGATGAGCAGAGGGTCCCATGCCAAATATTTTTCATAAGATCTCATTTTTGCATCAAGGAGATGCCAGTTTTCATTTTGGAAATGTTGCCCTACGCCAACATCTGTTTATAAAGACTGTATACTTGGTCTCATCCGAGGGCACGTCAGTGCTGGGCAAAATGCCCCAGATAAAAGTTGACAATCACACTACGTTGTCAGGAGATGCAGCTTTGAAACCCACCTTGTACACCCTTCTGACAAATTTCTACAGTTCCTTCCTACTCGGTTCTCCTTATTATCACCTCTTCAAAGATCTTCCTCATGCTCATAGTTTCCATGGCTGTGTTGCGCAGGTGCAACCGCTGCCATGTGCGCTACGATGCCGTGCCCCGGGATCGAGTCTTTGGCTGGGGGAAGTTCCGATGCCACTGTGGGAATGTTTTCTTTGGACGGGCCCAGGCCGGTGTCCCCAGCATCTGCTTCCAGTGCCGTGCCTCGGTAGGTGTCTCTGTCTGGCTGTGTAATCTGTCATTCTGTCTATCTGTTGGCTACCTGTCTGAAAAATGAACAAATTGATCATATTTTCAAATTTTAGCATCAACTTTGATGGTATTTGTTATTTGTAAAAGTTAACTACATGTACTTCACACCACATAATGTCTAAAAAATATGTTGCAGCAATTTTGTTTATAGTGCTCCGTGACATCCGCACTCGTCCACATGCTTAAGTGATTCTCCCACAGAGGCTTAGAATAGTCAGTGATGGTTGATGTGTGTGTTATCCTCAGGTGGCCGTGGGCCAAGGCCAGGCATTGTAGCAAATAGAGCTCTGCAACATTGTCTCTGAATTTTGAAAAAGTGACAATGCAGAAAGAGATGTCACACTAATCCCGAGCCAATGTCCACCAAGGGTCAGCACATGCCAAGTCCAATATAAATTATTGTGATTGTAGTAACTCGTCATTTAACAAGCTGCTATCTTCAGCTTAAAACAATACCAGCTAGGATACGTGTGACATGGAATGAAACCATCGCGAAGTGGTTAAACAGTTGTTGCTTCTCACTGAAGTATAAATTGTGTGAATTTATTTTGCAATCAGCCTTTCGAGTGATGCTTGCATTTGTTTTGTTCAGGTCTTGCCTGATGTAGACAGTATTGGCCCCATGCAGCATAACGGCCCGCGGCAGTATACCAGGAACCGTCACGCCTGTGACCTCTGCAACAATGGCCGCATCCAGCCCTGCCCTGGCTACAACAGAGTCCTGTGCCCTAGTCTGCCACACATAAGCACTGGCTCCACCGCCTCCACTTTCTTGACGCAGCAGAGCCATGCGTACAATGATCCGCTGAACTAGGTCTGGAGAGTGGCTGCAGGCAGTGTCAGAAACGAGAATTTTTGGGGGGTTTGTGGCTATGGGCTTTTGTACTAGAGTCTCGGTGTCCAATTTTGCAACAAATCTTAAAAATCTTGTGGATTGTTAGGTTCTATGCACATTGAATGTTCATTCAGTTTAACTTGTATGTATGCCAGCTATTTTGACCACTAACTAAGTTATTCACTTCGCCACTGTCACTTCTTTTTTAGCTTCAAATGAAGATTTTATTTTATAGATGCCAAATGTTTCAGTTGCAGACCCGTATGAATGCTACTTTTTTTTAGCTTTCTAACAATCCAGATTTTATCATTTATATTTTTGTTTACCTTTTGCTCATACGAAATCACATCATTTTATTAACATGTGTAATAATTCAAATTCATGATATACATAAAGACATATATATGTAAGTGTAATATTTTTTTTAACTGTTCCATAGTGACCCTCATTGTATTGTATGGTTGATTTCGTATCATGTCACAAGATTTCAAGCAACTGATAGAGTTTATTGTGAATGTTTCTAGCATAAAATGTATATGTAATAACAGTTGTGTAACAACTATACACATAAGTAGTTTCAGCCCAAAATAAAATTTTGAGTAAAAAATCTTGTATAAGGAAAAACAAAAAGTTTATTTCATATATGTGACGCACTCTGTGAAAATGAGTCTTAAGTCACCACAGCCACTTTGTAAGTTTTCATTTGTTTTGGAAAGAGCAAATAGATTTTTTTTTTTTGATGTATCACTCAGTTTGGCATCCTGATGAAAGTTGATACTCCATGGTGAAAAATCCTGTGGGTTCCTATTGATGTACACTGTTCAAAATTAATCTAGAGGCCTTGATAGAGGTTATTGTGAATGTTTCTAGCATAAAATGTATATGTAATAACAGTTGTGTAACAACTATACGCATAAGTAGTTTCAACCCAAAATAAAATTTTGGGTAAAAAATCTTGTATAGGATAAACAAAAAGTTTATTTCATATATGTGACGCACTCTGTGAAAATGAGTCTTAAGTCGCCACAGCCACTTTGTAAGTTTTCATTTGTATTGGAAAGAGCAAATTGATTTTTTGTTGTTTTGATGTATCACTCAGTTTGGCATCCTGATGAAAGTGGATACTCCATGGTGAAAAATCCTGTGGGTTCCTATTGATGTACACTGTTCAAAATTAATCTAGAGGCCTTTTTCTCCAAAGTGGCTCTGGCGACTTAAGACTCATTTTCACAGAGTGGGTCACATATATCGTGTTTCTGAGACATGATCTGAAATAATAACCAACTGGTACTCTTGAGAATGTATTTGCTATAAATGTTCACTGACAAGGTGTAAAGTTGAATTCAAACTTTGTTGGGGAAGGCCAGTCATGTTAGAAACAAAACACCACCAGATGAAAGAAAATACATCTTGACTCTGCATTTGAAAAAAGATCAAGCCTCTTCACTCAAAAAAGTTACATCCATCTCGAAAACAGTTTTGAAAACAGGGTCTTTTTTTAATCATGATATCAAATGCAAAGGCCTCTGTCATGTTGTCAACTTCACTAGACACCTTAGAGGGATAACCCAAAAATGCAGTCGCATTTTAATATTTTGTCAACAAAGCTCATTCCAGTGCCCGCCTTGCTCTGCATGTCATGTGATTGGTCCCTCAATCCTGCATTTATAAAAGAGCTTTGTGAACTAGTGTCATACAGGCTGCATGTCAACAAACCTTGCTCTGTTCTGTTATTCTTTAATGTGCTCTATAAAACCAGCTACTGACTTGAAAGTGGTTGCTCATTTTGTTTCGTGGGGGCACAGTGTAGAAAGGGTTAAACCTAGCCATGCCCACGGACGTATATAAAAAAAA